TAGCTGTGCCAGCCGCCCGTGGGTCCGTTGCTCGTCTACCGCTACTTTAGCCGCGGGGCCTGTTACTCCTGTATTCCCGGGACTTCGTCCGGTAGCCGCTGTGCCAGTCTGCCTCCTGTTGCCCGTGTGTCTGCAGCTTCAGCCGTCGCCTCCTATCTCCTCTCCTCTCACTCTTTCTCTCCTCCTCCTCGCTTGCCCGTTGTGACTCCCACTAGCTTTGCTCATAATTGTGAACTTAAACTATTGCTTCTTGAACTTGTGCTCAGAATGTGTGGTGACATTGTGATCCACCCTGAGCTTGTACTGCTTTGCTTGCTCTGCTGATTACACCCCACTTCGGCTATGGGGGTGTGTCAGAATATTATGCTCTAGCCTGTAGTGGGGTGCTCTATAGCGAGTACAACCCTTCTAGGGTTTGCTATTTGTATCCTCATTCTTGCTAGTGCAGTCCTCTTCTTTCTTCTAAATTTGTCATAGTGCAGCAGGATGTCTCGTGTCTCGCGATCCGTGCTGACGTCGACGCCGCAGTCCATGAGCTGTGCGGCGGACAGGAGGTTGAAGCGCAGGTTCTGGACGATCAGCACATCGTTAAGCGTGATGTGCGTGCGGCTTCCACGTGCTTTGAGCACGACGATGCCTTGTGCGCTTGCGCGCAGGTGCGTGTTGTTCGCCACATTGACGTAAGTTACTGTAGGGGTGGGGACGGCGTTGGATATGTAACGCTCGGAGCCCACCATATGCTGGCCGCAGCAGCTGTCCAGGTACCAGGTGTTGTAGCGCTTGTTGTCGTCACGTGCGAGCAGCGCCAATCGCGGTGTGACGATGTGCGGAGTGTCGAACTTCAGAAATTGCTCGCGCGAGAGCCAATCAGGTGGCGCCACCCGCATGTCTGGTATGTGCGGGGGACTTTCAAGCAGCGGCACTTGGAGGTTCCAATCCTGGTCGTTGTCGTCGTTGTAGTCGCGGCGCGGACTGAACGAGTTGTTGGTGAACGCGCCGATGGGGTGCGGTGCTGGCTCAGGTAAGGGTGAGCGAGCACGACGATGACGTGACTCGCCTGTCATGGCCATGTTGCTCATGACGTTGCGCGTAAGGGCAGTTGATGGCTGCTGCTGCTGATGCTGAACAGTTGAGTTTAGATTGCGCGTGGGTGGGGGTTGATACCCTTGGGCTGGACGCACGTCGCCTCGTGCGTCTTGTCGGCCGGACCAGTTGCTCGGATTGGTCTGGCGAGGGCAGGATCAGAATTTACATCGATCCGCCAAATGCCCGAAGTTTCTGCAGATTTTGCAGTAGAGGCACCGCGATCGTCACTCTTCGTTGTTGTCGGCGTAGAAGGCGAGCCGTTCGCGTTCTCGTCGTGGCGCTGGTCGCTGCTAATCCATATCCCGTTGTTCGACGAGGAGGGCGGCGCAAAGGGCGGCCTCCGAGATGACCCCTTGCTGTCGGAGGAGCGCCTTGCAGGGCCGCCACTCCGGGCCAAGCCCTTGAAGCACAATGTTCACGAAGATTTCCTCGGAAATCGAGCTTCCCAACTTCACGATTTGATCGCGAAGGCTCCGACAGCGGTTGATGTAGCTGTTAACCTTCTCCCCTGATGTAATCTTAGTTTCCAGCAGTTGCTGGAGTAGTCGGCTCGAGGAGACGGAGTCCTTGGGCGGATACACGCCGTTCAGGTGCCGCCAAGCGTCGAGGGCTGGGGCAGTCGATGTCTTGTATGAACGAATGTTCAGCTGCTCCGCCGGCGACATGTTACGCAGAAGAATACCGTACGCCATCAGGGACTCGTTATAATAGCGAGTCCTTGAGTCGTCGGTGTCCTCAGCAGAGCTGCTCCGCTGAGACGAGCCACCCCGACCCCCGCCGCTACCGCCACCCTCGCCTCCACCGCCACCCCCGTCTCCACCGCCACCGCCCCCACCGGCACCCTCAACCCCGCCTCCTCCGCTACCTCCTCCGCCGCCACCTCCGCCTCCACCGCCTCCACTAGTACCTCCAATCCCGCCACCACCTCCACCGCCACCCCCACTCCCCCCGCCACCCCCACCTCCCCCGCCACCGCCCCCTCTAGCTCCACCCGCTCCCTTGCCCCCTTTGCCCTTGCCATTGCGGCGTCTACCGCTGGGGGCAGACGCCGCACCGACCGACTCAAAACCAGCGAGGTCGGCCGCAGCGGCAGAGGGCAGCAGGGGGGAAGGAGAACACCCCTAAAAAATGGGGGTGCGAGGGTCACCCCGAGAGGCCCCTACAGCGACGATGCTCTTCTCAGCCGCTAGCAGGGGCTCCTCAAGGAGGTCGACAGTGAGGGTGGTGGGACAGACAGAGAGAAACTGGTCCCTAACTACACGAAGGGACTCAGGGAGACGAGTGACGAGAAAGTAGAGAGTGATGTACATGGAAGGAGGGTTTGCGGCGCGGAACTCAGCAGGAAGGGCAGCGCGGTAGCGAGCGTCACTAGCGCGGAGGTGGGTAACGAGGTCAGCAACAGTGGGAAAGGCAGCGAGGTCAGGGAAGAGAAACGGTAGCATGAGGCGGCTAAGCGTAGCGGAGGAAGGGGAGGAGTAGCGTGCAACTACAGCGTCGTACAAGGCCTGAGCGGTCTTGCACTGACTAAAGTGGGCACGCTCGGAGGAAGGGAGGTGGCGACGCACAGCAAGACGTGCAGCAGCATCGCGGGTCGCCCACTTGGAGCGAACGGCGGGGTCAGCATCAGCAGGAGGGGCAAGGACAGCTCCAGAGACAAAGTCAAAGAGAGAGACCTCATCTATCGCATCACACAGTAAGTACAGCTGCAGGTCTTCAATCCAGACTGCAAAGTCAATGGCTCTACCCTCAGCGTCAAAAGCTAGGACCGTGGGGGTGGCCATGACAGCAGCTGACAGTCTCACCGGGTAGGAAAAGTCGGGTAGGTCAGTGGCACTGTAACACAGCCCAGGAGCAGCAGTGGCCCCATAGGAGCAGGAGTGCGGCTCCACTGGCGGCTCGGGCGGCTCGGGCGGCTCGGGCGGCTCGCGCGGCTCGGGTGACGCAGGGGCTCACGGGCGGCGCGGGCGGCTGCACGGGCGGCTCACGGGCGGCTGGGGCTGCTCACGGGCGGCACGGTGGGCGGCTGCACGGTGGCGCGGCGGGCTGCAGCACGGGCGGCGGGGCCGACGGTGGGCCGTAGCGGGGCTGTAGCGGGGCCGGCGGCGGGCTGTAGCGGGGCTGTAGCGAGGCTGCAGCTGGGCCGACGGCGGGCTGTAGCGGGGCCGGCGGCGGGCTGTAGTGGGGCCGACGGCGGGCTGTAGCGGGACCGGCGGCGGGCTGTAGCGGGGCCGGCAGCGGGCTGTAGTGGGGCCGACGGCGGGCTGTAGCGGGGCCGACGGCGGGCTGGAGCGGGGCCTACGGCGGGCCGACGGGGTCTAGGCGGGGCCAACGAGGGGCCGTAGAGGGGCCTAGGCGGGCCGACGGGGCCTAAGCGGGGCCGACGCGGGGCCGTAGCGGGGCCTAAGCGGGGCCGACGAGGCCTAAGGGCGTATTCCTACGGCCTCCTATCAAGAAACCTCCTATCAAGATTGTACCTTTTGCCTGGTAAAAGTAGCGAGAGATTTTGGGTTTAGGGAATTTTCCAGTGAGAGCTTGATAGGAGGTTTTCTTGATAGGAGGATAGGAATACGCCCTAAGCGGGGCCGACAGGGCCTAAGTGGGGCCGACGAGGCCTAAGCGGGGCCGACTAGGGGCCTAAGCGGGGCCGACGAGGGGCCTAAGCGGGGCCGACGAGGGGCCTAAGCGGGGCCGACGAGGGGCCTAAGCGAGAGCACGGCGGTAAGGGCGACACGGAGGGCCGCTAAAAAAAAACGCGCGCCTCGGGGCGCGCTTCGGTGGGCCCTAGGAACAGTCCCTAGGAAGGGACCTGCTCTGATTCCATGAGAAGATATGAACGAGAATGGAAATGACTATGAACGAAGTGAGTACAAATAGGAAACCCTAATTTGGGTTGTACCCCCTATGGGATACCCCACTATAGCCTACAGAAACAAGTAAGCTATATGTTCTGACATAAAAGTCTTTGCCGTCAAAGCACACACTTGTCTTTATTTTTTATACGCTCAAAAACCTTGATTGCGCGGAGAGAATTGCTTCGTCGCTGGGACATGGAGTCTTGGGGATTGAGCCGTTCGTATCGGAGAAGCCTTGCGGGGCGGAGTTTTGGCCGTTTGGGGCCGGTTAAGTGGGTTGGGAAGAAGTTCCCGCATCGCCATTCCGCAATGTCTGGAGCCCTTGCTCCAAGCTCGTGAGTCGCTGAAGCAGTTGTGCGAGGACGGCGGAAGGAATTGTCGACGTTTCCTCGTTTGTCGCAGCCGGGTTGGGCTGCGCTTCAGCCGTCAGATTCGTCTGACCTCCAGATCCTCTGGCCATTCTTACACGTGGTTGTGTGCCGGACGCCACTTTCCGAATGTCGCAGATTTCGGAGATGGCGGTGCGAAGGATTCCTGAGTCGCTCTCATACCATGCTGCAATCTGAAGTTGATCGTGGCCTAGGATCTACTCAGGAAGGTTCGCAGGCAGAGAAGTGGTGTTGGTGGGCCCTTGACCTCAATAGCAGAGTGAATGTAAATGCTTGAGATGATTAAGACATGCAAATACAACGATATAAATAAGAGAACAGGGGAATATGAATCGACCTAGCTAGCCATGTACTCTAAGGGGTACATTCCCTTATTCAAATACATTCCCAACTGTGCGGCGCGAACAGTTACGAAACTGTTCCGGCCGAAAACAACCTGCCTGCAGCTGCCTGACGCTGTCTGCTCCGACGGTTCTGATGCGTTCCAACCGTCTGACGCTTAGCGTTCATTCGCGATACTGCGCGCTTCTCTTTGCTGCGGTGAGGAGTGCACAGTAATGTTCAAGTATTACTATTCATAACAAATTCTGTCTGGCTATCGCATTTATTGGACGTACTCAAAAGGGCTCATCCTATTGAACCCCTGTTTGGTGGTACATTCTAGTTTCGCATGCTACAATCCCTTGCTTGCCTCCCTGTGATCCGCCCCCACAGCGTCTGCCACTGACGCAAATCCATCACGAGCGAGGCATTCGGCCAATTCTTTCTGCCAATTGGGAGGGTCCAAGTTAGGGATGGAAGGATAGGCGGCGGCGGGGAGGGGGGGGGGAGTGTTGGGGGAAGGGGATGATGACAAATGGAGGGAAGAGAATGGAGAAGGAGAGTTGTGAGCAGCTTGTGAAAAAAAAAACCTAGTGAGCAGTTTCTTAAGCCTTCAGAAGTGCTGGGTTAAATGCAAAGTGCCTACGCCACTGTAGCTTCCATACTTCGAAATTTGAGCCCAGGTATAGGAAAAGGGCAGTAAGCCCTAGTGCAGGGTGACTTGCTTTGACTCACCCTCACTTGGTTTGGCTCACCTTGATTTTCGGCACCACTCCAGCTCCCTCAAAGTTCATGATGACCTGCCTTGGCTCGGCTTGACTCAGCTTGACTTGATTTCGCTCACCTTGATTTTTGGCACCACCCCAGCTCCCTCGAAGACCATTGAGGTGTACAGCTGGACCAATGAGGCCCCCGCCCGGATCTTCTTATAAGCATCCTCGCCACTGTACCAGGGACGCAGGGGAATGATGGGAACAATGAAAGAGACATCAATGAGAACCGCTTTATAAGAAAGAAGCCAGACATGAATTGCTCATGAGGTGGCTTGGCTGGGATGGGATGGTGGAGAAAGAGGGAAATGGAAAGCAAAGATTGATTTAGGGGGTAAAGTAAGTGATGAGACGTTCGAAAAGGCTGGGTTGGGATAGCGGAGACTGGAGGAAATGAATAGAACAAGTTGATTCAGGGGATAGCGAGAGGCGAAGATCTTATGGTGTTGGGGTAGGGGTGTCACTTGGATGAGAGAGAGAGAGAGAGAAGGGGGAGAGAGAAGGGGGGTGTGGGGTGGGAGGGTAGGGAGGAAGAGGTATGGAAGACAGGTGGGAAGATGCTGGGGAGAGAAAACAGAGTATGTAGGAGAGGGGGGGAGAGTGTAGGAGCGTGGGAGGGAGAATGGAGAGAGAAATGAGATTAGGATGGTGGAAAAGGAAGTAGATACCTGTAGATGCCACCACAGCCGATGATGGGAATTTGACCCTGAGGGAGGAGAGGGCGAGAGAGGAGGGTAGGCTTAGAGGGATTGACTGTGAGAGATGAAGGGAGGGAGAGTGCAGGGGAGGAGGGGGGGGGGGGACTTGTAGATGCCACCACAGTTTATAATGGGGATTTGTTCAGACATGATGGGAGAAGCAAGGACTAGAGGTTGGGAAAGAAAGGTACAAAAGCCATTGGTAGAAAATGGAATGAAGAACAGCACAAGGAAATGCATGCAGAGAGTATAACATCTGTCATTGAACAGTTATTTCTATATATGTGTATACTACATCAACTGTACATCTTGTATAACATTTGTGTATATTATAGCATTTAGACACAAAGTCTTAGTAGAGTAGGGAACAAGGATCTTCACCTCCATTAGAATTTGCGCACCTTAGTAAGCGAGTACATCTGGCGCAGCACAGCAGTGGAGAGCTCAAAAAGAGGCTTGCCGCTGAGGCCCCCCACCTCATCCGCATTCACCAGACCCAGGATGCTGTCAGGACGGGAGATGGTCGTGTTGCTCACCACCTGGTGGGTGTGGGGAGGGATGGAGGGCGGTGGGGAGGGGTTGGGGTGCAGATATTGGAGAAGGTCTCCACATTCACAAGGCCCACGATGCTGTCAGGGCGTGAAATGGTGGAGGGTGTTGGTGGGCCCACGATCCTCCTGTTCGTACGTGCTCCTCACACGGTAAGGGCGGGAGGATGGGTGTTGGTGGGGTGACGGGGAGGGTGGCGAAAGAAACAGGGAGGCCTCCTGCACGGCCTACAATCACTATTTTCTTTAGTCAACTTAAAAGTCTATCGTGGGACCACAAAGTGGAGTTAAACCACGAGAAAAGCTTTCTCTTTTGACAGAAACACCACTTACCGGGCACTCCATGCTCGTTATAAGCTCACTCGCTAGCACACCAGTCCGTCGATCTTGGGAAAGAGGGTGACAGCCAGAATATGCGACATGTTCTCTCTGGTCAGATCAGGGGCTGATTTCACCAAAAAATCTAAAAAATCACTCCATCCTCACTATAAGCTCGCTCATTAACGTACCAGTCCGTCAATCTTGAGGAAGAGGGCGACAGCAGCAATATCAGACATGTCTTCAGTGGTGAGGTCAGGGGCAATCTTGAGCAGCAGAGGGGGCGGACCCTCCTTGCCCCACTCCATCTCGTTCCGCGCTGCTTGCACCTGGCAGGGACAGAGAGTGGTGAGGGCAGGGAGGTGAGGTGACTTTAGTGTCCACCTGAACAGCAGCAATATCGGACAGGTCTTCGGTGGTGAGGGACTCACCCCCCACTCAATTAACCCCCACTATCTCCCGCCCCACTCCCACCCACCCCGCCACTCCCCCCTTGCTTGCCTTTCGCCTTCCCAACCCACTCACCCGCTGCAGCAGCTCCTGCAGCTGTGACTGGCCCTGCAGCTTTCTCATCCCAGTGCCCACCGCCTCCCTCCCCCCTCCACTCCCTCTCCCACTGCTCCATTTCCCTAAATGAACCCACTCACTCGCTGCAGCAGCTCCTGTAGCTGCGACCAGCCCTGCAGTTTCCTCAGCCCGGGCGTGTTGGGGGAGGACACATTCACCACCAGCACGTCTGCAAACTGCCCCAGCGCGTGCACGCCCTTCACATAGTCCCCTGCCGCATCCTCTCACTCACCCCCCACTCGCCTTGTTCTTCCCCAGGTTCACCGCCAACACTCCTTCCCGCACCCTCTCTGGCTCCTTTCCCCTCCCCCCACCACCCCGTTCCCCCCTCCCCCACCTCCCTCCTCCCCCCCCTACTCACTCACCCGCTGCAGCAGCTCCTGCAGCTGCGACCTTCCCTGAAGCTTCCTTAGGCCGGGCGTGTTGGGGGAGGACACATTCACCACCAGCACGTCTGCAAACTGCCCCAGCGCGTGCACGCCCTTCACATAGTCCCCTGCCGCATCCTCGCTCGTCTTGTTCTTCCCCAGATTCACAGCCAGCACTCCGTCCCTCACTCTCTCCTCCACCACGTTCTCTTTTTTTGGAGCCTGCCCGTCCGCTGCCCGTTTCTGCTCCTGCGCTGCCTGCTGCTGCCGCCGAGCCTGCCACGCGCCGAGCCTCTCCGCCACGTCAGCGATTCCTGCGCTGTTGAAGCCGTACCGGTTTATCACAGCTCTGGAGGGAAGGGAGGGATGGGGGAAGCGGGTTTGGATGGGAGCGAGGGTTTAGGGATGGGGGAGAGCGAGCAAGAGGAAGGTGACAGGATGATGCTGGAAGTGAGGGATGATAGGAACAAGGATCAACACACCACGTCAGCAATGCCCCGTTGTTGCGGCGGGGTCCGGATGGGGGAGGTGGAACATGGGAGAACACGACGGGAGAGCGAATCAAGGGAGTAGACCAGCCTTTCCCAGTCCGGCCCTTCTCCCCAGCAGTTTCAGGCTTCACGGTTTTGGGTTTCGGGCTTCAAGCAATTCACAAACTTCTGCTAGGTGATTGGAGGAAACAGGACCTGTGAGCCGGAAGCAACGGGGTTTGGGGTTCCCTGGCTGCGGGAGGGGAGTCACACTCCCGATCTCAGTAAATCCCAGGCCGAGGGCGAACATGGAGTCAACACAGCGCGCGTCCTTGTCAAAGCCCTCTAGTGTTAGGGGTTTGGTCAGGCTTTCGGGTTTAGGGCTCACTTCTGCTCTGTGAGGCGGAAGCATCTTGGCTTGGGGTTTCCAGGCTGCGGCAGTGGAGTCACGCTGCCGATCTCGGTGAATCCCAGCCCGAGGGCGAACATGGAGTCAACGCAGCGCGCATCCTTGTCAAACCCCGCCGCCATGCCCACGGGGTTGCTGAAGCGCCGCCCCCACACCGTGGTGGCAAGGGAGGGCGGGTCGGGGCGGAAGTCGCGTGGAGTGAGGCCCCACTCGCCCGACAGCACCGCCAGCTGGTGCGACGTCTCCGGGTCGAGCAGGCGGATGAATGGCGTCATGTAGTCCGTTGCCGCGAATGAGAGCGCGCTGGGGTGGGCATGGGGGGAGGAAACAAGGGGGAGATGGAGAAGGGAGCCTCAATAAGGGGTCGAGCAGGCGGATGAATGGCGTCATGTAGTCCGTTGCCGCGAAGGAGAGCGCGCTGGGGTGTGGGGGAGGGCATGGGGGGGGTATGGAGGGAAGGGATATGGGGGGCATGGGGAAGGAGGGTGAAAAAAGATCCTCAACGAGAGGTCGAGCAGGCGGATGAATGGCGTCATGTAATCCATTGCCGCGAAGGAGAGCGCGCTGTTGTGAGCATTAAGGGGGAAACACGGGGAGCCACAGAAGGAGAAAAGAGAACGCAAGAGATGCGAGGAAGCACGAGGTTCAACCCTGTGAAGGAAAAGGGTAACAGCATTGTTTAAGCTCCCAACGTTTTGCAGCCGTGGCGATACATTACTCGCTGAAAGCCATCACAGTAGCGGTGCAACCTGTTTACGACGTTGGTCGAGTCGCACCTGAAGGTCTTGGGATCCATGATGGATACCGCAACGCCCGCGGCGGCACCCGATCCGAGCGCGCACGCGGCGAGAATGCGCAGCTGCGGGGAAGAAAAGAATGTGAAACCGGAAAAAAAGGTAGAAACAGGAACGGCGGATGAATGGCGGGTTCGCAGCAAGGTGACGATTCCGACGCCTCTGGCTGACCTGCAGATAACCGAACGATTCCGGCGGATCAGTTGCGTGAAAGGAGGGGCGGTTTACATAACAAGTGGACGGAACGGCAATGAAAGGAGGGGCAATAAGAGCACTGCGGGGGAGGAACGGCATTGCATTGCCGAGAAACGGAAGAAAGACGTAAGAAAAGAAAGGGGAGCTTCCAGCCTGGGCACTTACGCGAAAGGGAATGCATCCGATTTGGAATGTTGTGCGAAAGGGAAACGCATCCTTCCCGAGTAGATCAAGATAAGATACTGACCAGATCGGGCTTGTGCTTCGGAGCGGATTCGGCGGAGGCGGAGGAGGAGAAGCGCCGAGCGCCGTACGAAGGCGACAGCATCGGGTTGACATTGACGGGCAGCACTGGGGGTTTGACGCGGCCGCACGCATGGCGGTGACCGTTACCGATGTGACTAGTTACTGCGTGGCTGCTGGCTCCTCCGCTGCACGCCACGTGGCGCTGCAGGAGAGGCTCTGCTCTGCCCAGCAGGGCTCGTGCGACCTGTCGGCTCATTGTGTCGGTTCGGCGTGGTTCGTTCGTAACGAGTACTCTTATGATGATGTGGATCACGACTACTATAAGTTCGTGCGGACGCGCCGCGGTGATGAGTGAGAGGAGGTGTGGTTCCGAGGTACGTTCAAAGACGTGGATTACAATGTACACTACTTCAAAACGCGGCGATCGCACGAGGGAGACCTCGATCAACTGAAAACAAGGGTCGCGCGAGCAAGAAACGATGCCACGCCGCCGTGGAGGCTGGTAGGAGGGAGAAGAAAGAGAAGCAAGTCTGAGAACGTTGGGAGACGTAAGGTCGACAATAACCAGAGTTGGAGGAAAGGAACTAATTAGTGGCGCGTGATACAGAAAGGTGCTTCGAGTTTCTTCCACCCTTGGATTTCTCCAGCCGCCCTCGATTCTTCCCCCAACCCTCGATTTCTTCAGTCCTTCCAGCCCCAGCCCGTGAAGTAGGCCCATGAAGTTGAGGTGTATCCGAGTCCCAGCGAAATGGCCCTATTTTCGCAGGACAGCTGTGCGAAAGTCTCGAAGCGCTCGCCATTTCGACGGTGCTGATTGGATACAGCGGAAGGCATGGCAGCAGGCGAAAAGTCGACCGACATTCTGGCGAATAGGAATGGAGATACCTCCAATATGTCCGCGAAGGCGGGGACACCTGGACCTGTGCTGGACCTACCCTCCTGAAAATCCCAAAACTGCTGCCAACAAAGCTTGTGCTTGTGTCGACGCGATTACAAGAATATTCGGTTAACGAGTGCTTGCAGTGTACTTCGAAATAATGCTTACATCGAGAGAATGCTTAGACACCAGAGAATGTTGTAATTAACAAACACACAATGATGTAACCGTCATTTCATTTTCCATGCACCTGGAACAACATACAACTATTTAGATTCACAAGGCTAGAACCATGTGCAATTCCGTGCTCTTGATCGTGCTCGTGGTAGGCACATGTTGCTGCTGCGATAGTTGTTTGAACGGAACAACAGTAACATGGAGTCGCAGGGCTTGAAGTGGTCTGATGTGCCCAACGAAAGTGAGGGCCACACTGAATCTAGGACTGCTACTGAGGTTGTTGGAACAGGAACGAGGGAAGTCCCAAACATGGAATAGTCTGGCTTACAGCCCTGTGGCGCCCATCTGCCTTGCTCTCTGCACCGCCGCCCGCTTTGCCGCCACCATTCTCTGCACCTCCTCCTGGTGCCGCTGCTGTGCCTGATGGGCCTGCTGGGCCCCGCTTCCTATTGCTGCTGTGCCACCCCCCACCGCCCCAATACCAACAGTTGCGCCCCTTACTGTTGCGACCCCTCCACTCATGCTGCTGCCAACAGCAGCCTCAGCAGCAGAAGCTACAGGTGGCAGTGGTGGCACAGGTGACTGGGTGGCGACGGAATGGGGTCTGAGAGAAGGTTGAGGGAGAGGCGAGAAACGGAGGAGAGAGTGAGTGAGGGTGGGAAGATGTGGGGGACAAAAAAGGAAGATCTGGGCATTGGATATTTGAAATTGGGCAAGAGCGGGTGTGGTCGATAGTTGACTGGGTTGAGGGCAGACGGGATCCTAAGAGAGGCCGAGTGCAGAATCACAGAAACACGGAAACACGGTGAGGAAGCAGAGACTCCCAGTGCAGCACGTGTGCTGTGGAACACTGGAACGGGGTGCTTCTAAAGGAGGAGTGCAAAAAAATGGAGGACATAGATTTAGTCCAGCTGAGTGCTTTCAAGGGCGGAGGGCAAAGACAGAGAAGCAGCGTACCTCGGTGGCACCGGCTCTGCACTGCCGGCTGCTTGCATGGCTCCTGCTGCGGTCGGCTCAGAGGCAACAGAGGCTTGCTGCTGGGTTAGAGGCGAAGGCGGGTGGACGTTGGAGGAGGATGGATGCACTCCAGCAGCTGGTGATTATGATGATGATTAGATTGGTGTTGGACGTAGGGAGGGGTGAATAAGAGGGAGGGAGGTTGAATGCCGGAGGGGAGGAGGGTCAATGCGAGGGAGGAGGGAGGGGAAGAGGGTGAGTGCGAGAGAGCGAATGAGCAAGAGAGGGAGGTTGAATCGAAAAGTGGAAGTCTCCACCGGGAGCCAATCAAAGAAAACCAATAACGTGGAAACGAGGCCGGGAAAGTGTGTGGTCACGCACCTGAAGTGTGTAGCCACGCACCTGAAGTGTGTAGCCACGCACCTAAAGTGTGTAGCCACGCACCTGAAGTGTGTAGCCACGCACCTGAAGTGTGTAGCCACGCACCTGAAGTGTGTGATCAAGCATGTGAAACCAAAATTGCGATTGTAAGAAGCCGTGCCTTCGTGGACACAAAAGTAAATGGTCCCTTAGCTTAGCTTAAATCAACCCCTGGTTCTAAGACATCACCCTAAAGAAAATGCCTGAGCGAAACCTATATCCAACCGATGGCCGTTAGTCTTACATGCAGATGACGTGGCAGCGGAGGCAGGGAATGAAAATCCAGGTGGACCCACAGCAGGAGCAGCTGATTGCCCGCCTCCAGTACCTCCCACTGACGTGGCAGCAGGACCCGCAGCTGACGTGGCAGGCGCGTGGTGGTGGTCCCGTGGCTTGCCTGCGTGGTCATGATCCTTTTCGTCTGCATATGGTCAACTGGGAGAGGAGAGCAGGGGAACATAAGTCAGCATAATATTTTGTTCCTTTTCCGTATCCATACGTCTGTGCCACCATCCCCATTCTCTCAGCCTATCCCAAACAGAGAAGGCAGTAGCAGACTCTTTCCAAAACTCCCTAACAGCAGAGTCGTACCTTGGTGCTCTCACCTCCACCTCTTCTCTCTTCAGCTCACCCACTCTCCGCTCCTCCTCCTCCTCCTCCCTTCCATCCTCCTTAGCACAACTCCCCGCACCTGCATTCGGTGCCACTAACAACACTCCTTCCGGTCCCGCTGCTGCTGCTGTCGCTTCTGCGGGTGTCTCTCCGATCCTAGGAGTCATGCCCCCTCCTGCTACTTTGCCTTTGGACCAAGGGAGAGACGGAGGAGGGCGAGAACGATCAGCATACACCCGCCAGTCGGCGTTTGAGGCACAGCGGTTGGCGTGGTCAGGGCAGGGAGAAGGGGAGTTCAGAAGGCAAGAGGAGGGGCAGGAAGAAGGAAAGGAGGAGCGAATGGAGGGGCAGGGAGAGGGGGTTGCAGTGGTGGAGGATGAAGAGAGGGAGACGTTCTTGTATGTAGACGATGAGAGGTTCAACGAGTGCACTCAGCTGTTCAACAGAGTGAGTGGTTGCTTGCTTTTTCATCGCATATTTCAGAAAATCAACACAGCGGTTGCGCACAGTTGTTTAGAACTCTAATATTCTCTTTAGAGACTTCTCTCAAGTTGCCTTTGATCCTATTTTTCTGGACATTGCAGTTACTTTGCTACCTGCTTTCAAGGTCTTGAACTGTGGCTTATCAAAATGATCTCACTCCTAACTTCACGTTTTTTTCTCCCACTACTCTCACCTGTGTGCCTTGCCATGCCTTTTGAGTCAGCTCAGTACTCGTACTTACCCGCCTTGCTTGCTCATACCTGACTTACTCTGTTTGTCTGCCCTCGTTATCCACCCACCTGCCATCTCCCCTGCAGCATGCCCCTCGGGATCTCCTCCCATTCATGTTCAGACACGGCCGCTACTGCTCTGTCTGCTAGCTCATTTTCTTCCCCCCCCCTTCCTCCCCACCCTTCCTCCTCCTCCCCTTCTCTCTCATCCACACCTGAGCACAAAAGCACCACCCCCACCACCGCCACTGCCACCGACACTCTCCCAAACCACTTGGCCCCTATGCCACCCACATTTTCGCTCAGCCCGGCTCGGCCCTCTCTGTCCTCGTTATTAGACTGGGATCCGTTAAAGTAAGAGTAGGCTGCTGTAGAAGAGTTATGCGTGCTGTTTGACGTACGGAGCGGTTTAGGTGCTGGAAAGAGTGGTGGCAGAAGCGCTAGGAAGGAGTGCAGACAGCATGGGCGAGTGGCAATGTCAAGTGCCTGGCGGCAAACGACTCCATTGCAAGGAGGTGGGGTTGAGAGCACCGAGGTACGACTCTTCTGTGAGGGAGTCTTGGAAAGAATCTACTACTGCCTTCTCTGTTTGGGAGAGACTGAGTGGTGATGGGAGAGTGGGGACAGGAGGGAGGAAGATAGAAAAAGCATAAGACGTCTTGTGAGGGCACAGCGCCCCTGTTGTGAGAGAGTGGGTGAGCTGAAGAGGGAGGAGGTGGAGGTGAGAGCACCAGGGACTAGCGCTGGAACGAATGACTGAAGCACAGAGGGAATGACGGCGACGTTGAGACAACGGCGGCAGGGTGTTGATTCTGACTGCTAGCCGGCTGTGGTAGCAGGAGGGAGTACACAGGGTCGATTAGCAAACGCGACGAACACAAGGTTCGACTGAATGACGCAAAAATGCCTCCCTCACCTCCCATACGCGGCTCTCTCAGGCTCACCTTCGGTTCGCCGCCGCTCTCTCGCAACTTGCGGGCTAGTGTCCGCTTGAGGGTCGATTTTCGCGTATGTATCCAAGGTGACTCCCATCCTCACGATAAGCTGATCCGATTTGGGACAACGGGCGTTGAAACTAGCCGCTAATCACGTACCCGCGATGCGCTGACCGGCGCCGCCTGACGTCGGAAGCTGGCCGCGCGTCGGCCATGGAAACTCGGAAGGTAACCGTTCAAAGAAACTGGAATGGATTCTGGTTGCTGGGATCACATGATCATCCATGATGGAAACATCTGGGAAGGCGATTTCAGAATGTTATTGATGAAAGTGATTCTCGTGTCGCATCCTTTGCAGCATGACGGCTAACCCAGCGGCTCGTCATTTCGGAAATACCAGATAGCTGTACTGCAGGAGTGAACGGGCGGCAGTGGCTGTTACGTCATCAGCGAGTACCGTGAGATGTTTTTTTGTATAGCATGTCAGGTAGTATCTGATTCATCAGCTCCTAAGAAATGTGAATGAATGATTATCGTGGATTTATTTGAAATAGTCGCGTTTGACGATTCTAAGACAAGACTGTGTCACGCTGTTACATGCGGAGTAGACGAAAGAACGGGATCACGAGTTTCGCGAGAAGATCAACCGGCGGCTCCTCGACAGCCTTGTCGCAGCGCGGGATCGCACACACACGAAACACATGTGGCTGCGGAATACGAATCGTCCCAAAGTGCAGCACCTTTGAGTGGGGCGTGTTTAGAGAAGCGCGAATAGATACTGCATCGGCTTGAGATACCTCGTGTCACACTTTCACAAACCAAGACTCTCGGAGGGATGGTGTTGAACTCGCCTGAAATGTTACTCGCTAAAATAAACGATTTGGAAGTGAAGACGCTGCGTCCGACTTGTGAACACGTCCTCACGGCTTCACAACCCCACCCTTCCGTCTTCATCGTACTGCCGTGCCTCACTTCTGCTTCCACTAGATTCTAGGTTTCCCGCTTACCTCTACTGGTCCAAAAGTCGTCGCTTCCGCTGTCGTGCCATCCAGACTGCTGCAGTGCATGGAACTGTGTTTTTAGCACTTCACTCCCGTCCCGACTCTCTAACTTCTCAATAATGGCGTTTTCTCTTCTCCTTACCGTCCCTCCCCCATCGTTTCAGTGTCTCCTCACGCAGACCTCCAGACACCCTGGTTTTCCTCGTTGCAAGCACAGTGGTCCACACGTGAGCAGGATTCGCATAAGAGCGCTCATCGTTTGCTCACATTCCATCGTCCTCTCTTTTTCTGCCATACACAGCCCTTTCGGCGATTGGCACTGTCCAGAAACCCAGTCCAAAGGCTGACTAACCTATCTTAGTCTTCACCAAAATTGAGACTGATACGCCTCTGCCTTCACTTCCCAATCAATACTATCGCGGCTCGCTGGCATACGAACCGCTCGGACTCAAGCAGTCGGTATTCTTAATGGCGTGTCCTCGCGTACTCGGCCTGCTCGTCGCGGCATTCGCTGCGGCTCTGTTGCTGCTAGCGGTGCCAGCAGAGAGCAAAAGGGCGCCGCCGGTGAGAAGGGCAGTGCAAAAGGGAGTGCCGCAGTGGGAGCTTCTCGCGGCGCTTAAGGGCCTTGATAAGAAATACGCCTTCTTCTCCGTTTTCGCAGAGCGATTCTACACTGCAGGTAGGCATTGACAAAACAACGTTTATTTGTTTTCTGTAGACTGTGCATGACTGTTTTCAATCTGGGCGTGTCCTAAACATTTTCTGTTCCCTTTTTTCCCTTTTGTTGCAGCGAAATTTAAGCTAATTTCACTTGACGGCCCTGCGACCATCCTCATCCCCTCTAATATTGGCAACCAATTTATGAAGAAAAAGTGGGATTCTTACACTCCTCAGCAGCGCCTACGCATATTGAAGAATCTGATTATAAAGGGGAAATTCAGCAAGAACCGGCTTCTGTCAACTGTTCCGTTATGGCAGTTCCGCACCATGAACATGGACTTGAAGCTGATTAAAATGAATAAGATCAGCCAGCGAGAGTGTTACTTCAGGGCCCTGGGAGGGAAGTCCTTTGGACCTCTGAACATGGCCAATATGAGCCTGACAAAAAACATTCAGATTCACGGCATTTCTACCGTTCCCATTCCTCCAAATGCATGACACTGGAGTTAATGCCATGTTCCTTGTACACTAATACACCTATATTGGGATGTAATTACGGTTATGTAAGCTGGAACGTTAATAAATTTTGTGTGGAAATCAAGGTAACAAAAAGCCCACTTGGATCAGTTTCGAGTACCTGTGAGAGAGGAGTGGACTGCCAGGTCAGAGATGTTGCACAGGGCAAATCAGTCAGGGCCACCAAGGACGAGTGGAGGAAATGGTAGTGTAGATGCTGCAAATCTCAACTTGGATTAAAGAGGGGCAGGGCTTGAAGTGGCCTGTGGTTCCAAACCAATCTGAGGCATGCACTGAATCCAGGAATGCTGCTAAGGTTGCTGGAATGGAATCACAGGAACGAGGGAGTTCCCAAACATGGAGTCGCACGGCTTGAAGTGGCCTGTGGCGCCCATCTGCCTTGCTCTCTGCACCGCTGCCCGCTTTGCCGCCAGCATTCTCTGCACCTCCTCCTGGTGCCGCTGCTGTGCCTGGTGGGCCTGCTGGGACTGGTGCAGCTGGTGGGATTGCTGGGACGCTGCAGCTGACGCAGGCGGCAGTGGTGCCAGAGGAGACTGGGTGGAGACGGAATGGGGTCTAAGAGGAGGTGGGGGGAGAGAGGAGAAATGGGGGAGAGACGGGAAATGGAGGAGAGAGAGAATGAGGGTGGGTGGATGTGGACTAGGAAGGGAAGCGTTGAGAATTGGATAATTGGAATTGGGTTACATAGAAGAAACATTATGTGGGCAAGAGCGGGTGCAGGGCACAGGCGATTGGATTGAGTCTGGTGCACGATTAAGGCCGATGGGGATCCTAACAGGAGCCGAGTGTGGAATCAAGGAAACGTGCTGGGGAAACAGAGATGTCAGTGCAGCACCTGTGCTGTGGAACTGAGAGCTACCAAAGGCAGAGCGCAGCAGAGGGCTTTTCAAAGGCGATTGGGTTGAGGCAGATGGGATATAAGAGGAGCTGAGTGTGGAATCAAGGAAACGTGGTGGGGAAACAGAGATGTCAGTGCAGCACCTATACTGTGGAACAGAGTGTTTCCAACGGAAGAGCGTAGCAGAGAAATTCTGAAAGCAAAGCGCAACAGAGTTTCATTCAGTGAGGAAGCAGAAGATTCAGTGCAATGAGTGCTTTCCAGAAGGCAGAGGGTTGCCAAGGGCAGAGCGCTTTTTAAAGGCAGCGTTTCAACCGAAGGTGAACGTACAAATAAATCACAAAGAGAGGACGCATACCTCGCTGGCACATGCTTTGCACTGATAAAGGGCTATTTTTGAGACGTCTCGAACATAACCTTTTATGAAAGGCAGCGTTTGAATTGAAGGAGGAAGTACAAACAAATCACAAGAGAAGAGGCACACCTCGGCGGCACCAGCTCTGCACTGCCGGCTGCTTGCATGGCTCCTGCTGCGGTCGGCTCAGAGGCAACAGAGGCTTGCTGCTGGGTTAGAGGCGAAGGCGGGCAGACGTTGGGTGACGATGGGCGCACCCCCCCAGCTGGTAATTATATTCGAAATGGTGTTGAGCCAAGGGAGGAGGGAGAATGTGAGAGGGAGGGGTGTATGTGAGGGATGGAGGGTGGATGTGAATGTAAGGGAGAGACGGGGGTTGCGGGGGAGGGAGGGGGGTTGCGAGGGAGAGAGGGATGGAGAGAGGGGGGTTGCGAGAGAGAGGAAGGGGGGTTGGGAGGGAGGAGGTTGTGAGGGAGGGATGAAATAATGTGGCGGGGAGGAATGCGAATGCGAGGGAGTGAGGGTAAGTGTGGGGAAAGGACGGCGAACGTGAGGGGGGAAGGGGGGGGGGGAAGGGGGGGGGGGAAGGGGAAGGAGTAACGTGAGGACAGGAGAGTGAATGTAAGCGAGGGAGATTGAATATGAGGGGACCAGGTGTGAATGTCGCATAAAAAGCCACAGCGCCACCAATGACTCCAACCAGAAACGAATCAAATAATAGCAAAGAAAATAGGTCTGGAAAACATGGGGTTGTCAAGCACATGAGCCCATGAGTCCCTAATCACGACTGCAAGAAATCATGCGTTTGCAGATGCATCAGAGAAACGAAAACCCCTATCTTACCTAACGTGAGAAGGAAAAAACACTGGCTCTAGGTCTTTACCGGGAAAGAACCTGCCATTGCAAAATCAATTCCAACCAATGATGGTTAGTCTTACATGCAGATGACGTGGCAGCGGTGGCAGGGAACAAGAACCCAGGTGGACCCACAGCAGAAGCCGCTGATAGCCCGCCTCCAGTTCCTCCCAATGACGTGGCAGCAGAACCCGCGGCTGACGTGGCAGGCGCGTGGTGGTGGTCCCGTGGCTTGGCCGCGTGGTCTCGATCCTTGTCGTCTGCATATGGTCGACTGGGAGAGGCGAGAGAGGATACGAAGGAGGTGAGGTGAGGCGTAGGGGGAGGAGGGTGGAGGTAAGGAGCGGAGAGAAGGGTGGAGATAAGGAGCAGAGAGAAGGGTGGAGGTAAGGAGCAGAGAGAAGGGAGGAGGTAAGGAGCAGAGAGAAGGATGGAGGTAAGGAGCAGAGAGAAGGGTGGAGGTAAGGAGCAGAAAGAAGGGTGGAGGTAAGGAGCAGAGAGAAGGGTGGAGGTAAGGAGCAGAGAGAAGGGTGGAGGTAAGGAGCAGAGAGAAGGGTGGAGGTAAGGAGCAGAGAGAAGGGTGGAGGTAAGGAGAGGAGAGAAGGGTGGAGGTAAGGAGCGGAGAGAAGGGTGGTGGTAAGGAGCGGAGAGAAGGGTGGAGGTAAGGAGCGGAGAGAAGGGTGGAGGTAAGGAGCGGAGAGAAGGGTGGAGGTAAGGAGCGGAGAGAAGGGTGGAGTGGAGGTAAGGAGCGGAGAGAAGGGTGGAGGTAAGGAGAGGAGAGAAGGGTGGAGGTAAGGAGAAGAGAGAAGGGTGGAGGTAAGGAGCAGAGAGAAGGGTGGAGGTAAGGAGCAGAGAGAAGGGTGGAGGTAAGGAGCAGAGAGAAGGGTGGAGGTAAGGAGCAGAGAGAAGGGTGGAGGTAAGGAGCGGAGAGAAGGGTGGAGGTAAGGAGCAGAGAGAAGGGTGGAGGTAAGGAGCAGAGAGAAGGGTGGAGGTAAGGAGCAGAGAGAAGGGTGGAGGTAAGGAGCAGAGAGAAGGGTGGAGGTAAGGAGCAGAGAGAAGGGTGGAGGTAAGGAGCAGAGAGAAGGGTGGAGGTAAGGAGCAGAGAGAAGGGTGGAGGTAAGGAGCAGAGAGAAGGGTGGAGGTAAGGAGCAGAGAGAAGGGTGGAGGTAAGGAGCAGAGAGAAGGGTGGAGGTAAGGAGAGGAGAGAAGGGTGGAGGTAAGGAGCGGAGAGAAGGGTGGTGGTAAGGAGCGGAGAGAAGGGTGGAGGTAAGGAGCGGAGAGAAGGGTGGAGGTAAGGAGCGGAGAGAAGGGTGGAGGTAAGGAGCGGAGAGAAGGGTGGAGTGGAGGTAAGGAGCGGAGAGAAGGGTGGAGGTAAGGAGAGGAGAGAAGGGTGGAGGTAAGGAGCAGAGAGAAGGGTGGAGGTAAGGAGCAGAGAGAAGGGTGGAGGTAAGGAGCAGAGAGAAGGGTGGAGGTAAGGAGCAGAGAGAAGGGTGGAGGTAAGGAGCAGAGAGAAGGGTGGAGGTAAGGAGCGGAGAGAAGGGTGGAGGTAAGGAGCAGAGAGAAGGGTGGAGGTAAGGAGCAGAGAGAAGGGTGGAGGTAAGGAGCAGAGAGAAGGGTGGAGGTAAGGAGCAGAGAGAAGGGTGGAGGTAAGGAGCAGAGAGAAGGGTGGAGGTAAGGAGCAGAGAGAAGGGTGGAGGTAAGGAGCAGAGAGAAGGGTGGAGGTAAGGAGCAGAGAGAAGGGTGGAGGTAAGGAGCAGAGAGAAGGGTGGAGGTAAGGAGCAGAGAGAAGGGTGGAGGTCAGGAGCAGAGAGAAGGGTGGAGGTAAGGAGAGGAGAGAAGGGTGGAGGTAAGGAGCGGAGAGAAGGGTGGTGGTAAGGAGCGGAGAGAAGGGTGGAGGTAAGGAGCGGAGAGAAGGGTGGAGGTAAGGAGCGGAGAGAAGGGTGGAGGTAAGGAGCGGAGAGAAGGGTGGAGTGGAGGTAAGGAGCGGAGAGAAGGGTGGAGGTAAGGAGAGGAGAGAAGGGTGGAGGTAAGGAGCAGAGAGAAGGGTGGAGGTAAGGAGCAGAGAGAAGGGTGGAGGTAAGGAGCAGAGAGAAGGGTGGAGGTAAGGAGCAGAGAGAAGGGTGGAGGTAAGGAGCAGAGAGAAGGGTGGAGGTAAGGAGCGGAGAGAAGGGTGGAGGTAAGGAGCAGAGAGAAGGGTGGAGGTAAGGAGCAGAGAGAAGGGTGGAGGTAAGGAGCAGAGAGAAGGGTGGAGGTAAGGAGCAGAGAGAAGGGTGGAGGTAAGGAGCAGAGAGAAGGGTGGAGGTAAGGAGCAGAGAGAAGGGTGGAGGTAAGGAGCAGAGAGAAGGGTGGAGGTAAGGAGCGGAGAGAAGGGTGGAGGTAAGGAGCGAGGGGAGGAACTGAGGAGTGGTGAGGCAGCGCGTAGGAACGAAAGACTGAAGCACTCAGGGGAGGTGACGGCGACTACTGATGTAACGGCGACAGAGAGTTCATCCTGACTGCTGGCGGACTGTAATAGCAGGAGGGAACACAGGGTCGAAGAGCAGATGCAACGTGCACACCGTGTTGACTGGACGACGCAAAAGTTCCTCTCTCGACAGTTTTGACAACTCTCAATAGTTAATCCCTTGACACTTTTGAGGTGACTTATGAGTCGACTCAAAAGGTGACCTTTCAATAGTTCCTCCCTCTCCCTCACACCTCCAGCACGCCGCTCTCTCAACGTGCGTGCTAGTAAGAATAGAAAAGTGCGGAAAAGCCGATCCGATTTGAGACAAGGTGCGTTGAAACTAGCCGCTAATCACGTACCCGCGATGCGCCGACCGGCGCCGCCTGACGTCGGAAGCTGGCCGCGCGTCGGCCATGGAAATCTCGGAAAATGTGTAACCGCTGGAAAAGGTTCAAAGGCACCTAACGCTGCAGCCGTGAGTATTTACGACGGACTGGAATGGTTGCAGGATGCTGGGATCCCAGAATGTTTTTTTCAGCTAAAAAGGCGATGGAGACAGCTGGAAGGAGAATTCAGAATGCCACTAAGCAGCGGGTCCTCTTTTCGATTCCAGTGCAGCATGACGGCTGCTCGAGTGAGCGAGCGACGGCGACTGTTACGTCACCAGCAGGTGCTTTTTGAGGCGCCTACAGGTCGTTCCCGAGTTAGATTGTGCTGCTTTAAGTGGTAAGCACGTAGTGCGAAAAGGCTTGCCAAAATATACGCGCGTGTCCTGAATGCCGACCCGAGAACAGCAACATATCCGATGCGACGGGTCCTAGGTCCTGACCTAATTGGCGATTCGTCAGTAAACCTATAGCAAAGAAGCGGATTCGCGTATGATGGCATCGCTAGTTCGCGATTAGTGATAGCATCACTAGTTTTCCTGCTAGCGAAATCGGTGTGGAGGTCCAGGCGAACGTCCCTCATGGTTACGGGATGTGGATGAGGATAATCATGGTGAACACAGAAGTAATGAAACTTTCATTGTTAGAGTACAGTTAATCAACGTAAGAATGATAACAAGCTCTTGATTATTTGGCAATGAGCAACCTAGAGTCAAAATGAGTGCTCCATAGGGTTTGAGAGGGCATGCTGGCAATCTGCCATGATGCAAGTCAGCTTCAGGTGGAGGTCTGTCAGGCACATGTTGCCAATCGAACCCCAGGCAGGAGTCATGGTCTTTGCTAGGCAAAACATGTTGCCCACGCCCTACCCATGTACCACCTTCTGAGTCGCAAACAGAAGGCTGCAATTCGTTTTTGCTCATATAAGCACCGGCATGGGATGTGGGGGAGTGTGATGTGGTTGTGACTCCTCTATTTCTGTTGTTCATGTAGCTCCAAATGAAGTTGTGATGCAGAAAAAACCCCGTTGTTATGTAGAATACTGCACGATCCATGGATGACCTGTCATGCCATGCCATGCCGCCCCATCACATACAGTACCATCCCATGCCACGCCATACCATACATAACAGACAGATGGAAGTTGAGGTGGATGGTGGGCGACGAGACATAGGTGTGAACATATGCCTTGCTGAAAATGTCACTTGCGGTGAATAAGGATGTGATATTTGGGAAAACGTTTCAGGGCACGAGTGTGAGGCGACGGAAGGGGGGGCGTGTGGGAGGGTGGGGGGGAGGAGGAGGGGGGGCGAGCAAGAGTAACAACGCACTGGTCTTTCTCACGCAAGTAACAACCCACATAGCAAACACGCACCAGCACCACCATCCACTTACCAAGCCAATCAATGCACCCCAAAATCCGAGCCAATCAGCCCAGCCGATTAAACTCACCAAGCAACTCAAGTGCTGATATCCTCTTGCGGGGGTCCTTCACGAGTATCCTCCTTATAAGATCTTTGGCGTCCTCGCTCACAGTGCGCCACTTGGCGGACCTGAACTGCACCTCCTTGCGCCGGATCGCATCGAATATGCCCTCGTTGCTCGCCGCCCAGAACGGCGGGAAGCCGCACAGCATGATGTATAGGACGATACCCGCCGACCAGATATCTGATTCGGGGCCGTACGAGCCGGTGAGGACCTCTGGGGCCATGTAGTACGGCGTGCCTACGAACTCAGTGAGAGGCTCGCCTGTAAGGGAGGGGTGAGGAGAGGATAGGGACAAGGAAGAATGAGATGCACATCTGTAAGAGCCGGTGGGGACCTCTCGGGCCATGTGGTAGGGCGTGCCGACAAACTCTGTCAGGGGCTCGCCTGTAGCATGGGAGGAGGGGAGAGGGGAGGGGAGAGGGGAGGGGGAGTGAGGAGCACGTTTGTACAGGCCAGATATCCGACTCGGGGCCATACGAGCCGGTGGGGACCTCTGGGGCAATGTGGTAGGGCGTGCCTACAAACTCAGTGAGAGGCTCGCCAGTAAAATGGGCAGAGGGGAGAGGGGAGAGGCAAGAGGGGGAGAGAGGAGCACATCTGTAAGAGCCGGTGAGGACCTCTGGGGCCATGTGGTGGGGCGTGCCGACGAGCTCTGTGAGAGGCTCGCCTGTTAAAGAGAGGGAAGGGGGAAGGGGGAGAGTGAGTGAGGAGCACATCTGTAAGAACCAGTGAGGACCTCTGGGGCCCTGTAATAGGGCTTGCCTACAAAATCAGTGAGAGGCTTGCCTACGAACTCAGCAAGACGCTCTCTTGTAAAGAGGTGTGGGGGGAGGGGGAAAGAAGGCAGAAAGGGAGTGGGAGGAGAAAGAGGAGGGAGAGGAGAGGGAGGAGGGGGATGAGAGGGAGAAAAGGGAGGAGAGGGAGGAGAGGGTGTTAGATTATACTACTCTTCTGTATCCTGCATTGATCCTAAAAACCCTAGGATAGAGATAGGCACCCAAACAGTGTTTGGGTGCACAACTAGGGTTAACCCTAGTTGGGGGTTGGAACCCAACCTTGGCCCAAATATTGGACCCCAAGGTTGGGTTGGAGGGTTATTGGCCCCCCTCAATAATGTTGGCCCACTTTGACCAACATTATTGGGACCCCCCAATAATTCTCCAACCCAACTTACTGGTGGGGGCCAATAATGTTGGCTAGGTACCAACCACCCCCCCTTTCCTTAGCTCCAACTATGTAAGCCCTCATCATTCCTAATCAACTCATCAGTTCAATTCTCACAGAGGGAGGAGAACGAGGTGACGCGGATTTTGGAGGCGCCTAAAAAATAATGACAGCGCCATCGACCCTGTGCTCTCTACCACAGGAACACCAAAGTATGGTCTGAACCTCGAGGGTATTTTTGAGACGTCTCAAAAATACCCTCAATACACGAGGCAACACCAAAGTCGATCACTCCAATAGCAGTATCGCCATCCTTGTGCAGGAGTAGTGTAAAATTCCTCACTTGCGGCCCTCTTGATATAAGCCTGCTTCTGAGGAGAATGTTCTCAGGCTTCACATCACGTCGCGGGGTGCAATGCCGTTGGAGTGGCAGTACAGCAGCGCCTCCACCAGCGTCTGGCACACAAGCACACAATGCCATGCCATGCCATGCCATGCCATTCTAGTAGACCAATGTTCATACCGTGTCTGAATCGCGTGGCGACGCCAAAGTCGATAACTTTGATATTGGTGTCGTCATCCTTGTGCATGAGGAGAATGTTCTCCGGCTTCACGTCGCGGTGAGCAATGCCATTGGAGTGGCAGTAGAGCAGCGCCTCCACGAGCGTCTGGCACACGAGCGCCGCGCTGCGCTCGCTGTACTGCCCCCTCAGCTTGATGCGGTCGAACAGCTCCCCTCCCTTGCAGATCTCCATCACCAGGTGCACATGCTGCCCCACAAGCAGGGACGATGGGGGCAAGAGGAGGGGTTGACAAGGGAAGGTGAAGAGAGGTGGAGAAAGGTGAAGAGGGTATCGAAGTGACAATAAAGCACCCCGCCCTTGCAGATCTCCATCACCAGGTGCACGTGCAGGGGGGGTGAGAAAGGGGTGGGATGAGGTGCGGGGGGGTAATTCAGCTTACTACCCAACCCTAGCACGCCACATGCATACCTCACCTTGCTGTCCTCTAAGGTCTTATAGAGGTCGATGATGTTGGGGTGACCCGTCAGCTGCTGCTTTCAAACAGCCCTCATTAATCCACATACCACACACCACACACACACCCCACCCTTGCCCCACCTTGCTTGCTCTCCTCAAACTTCTCATAGAGGTCGATGATGTTGGGTGGGGTGAGGTGGAGTGGGGTTCCTCTACTTATCGCTCAACCCATACCACACCAAACCCTCATCCCACCTTGCTATCCTCAAAGGTCTCATAAAGGTCGACGATGTTCAGGGTGGAGTCGGGTGGGGTGCGTTAAGATGGGGTATCTCTGCTCTGCGTACCGTGCGATTCCTCCCACACCGCACACACTTGCCACACCTTCCTCCCACACCACACATCTACATCTACTCACTATCCCCCACAAACTCCTCAGCTCACCTTGCTGTCCTCAAACGTCTCATAGAGGTCGATGATGTTGGGGTGGCCCCTCAGCTGCTGCCCTCCATCGGCCATCACTAATCCACCGCACCACCCTGCAACTCCTCCCACACCACACACACGCCCTAACCACCCTCATCTCACCTTGCTGTCCTCAAAAGTCTCATAGAGGTCGATGATGTTGGGGTGGCCCCGCAGCTGCTGCATCAGCTGCACCTCCTTGCGCACGTCCTCTGCATCCTCTGGGCACTGCAGCGGTGGAGTGCGGTGGGGTGGGATGGGGTGGAATGGGGTCAGGTGGAGTGAGGTGGGGTGGGGTGGAGTGGGGTGAAGCGGGGTGGCACATGGAGAGCAATGGGGGAGGCCAGGCACATCAACCCATGGGGAGGCTGCAGCACCTGCTGCCGCACCTCTGCGCAAGGAGGTCCGACCCCTACCCACCCCACCGCACCTCCTTGTGCTGCGTCCCCCGGACACTGCAGTGGTGCGCTGCGGTGATGGCATGCGGTGATGGCATGCGGTGATGGCATGCGGTGATGGCATGCGGTGATGGCATGCGGTGCGAATTTATACTCCCACCCACACTCCCAAACTCACACCAATGCAAAATCCGCCTCCTGCTCCCACGCCCTCACTCCCACTGTCCCACACCCTCACTCCCACTCTCCCACTCACCCACACCCTCACTCCCACTCACACACACCCTCACTCCCACTCTCCCACACCCTCACTCCCACTCTCCCACGCCCTCACTCCCTCTCCCACGCCCTCGCTCCCTCTCTCCCACGCCCTCGTTCCCACTCTCCCTCACCCTCACTCCCACTCTCCCACGCCCTCACTCCCTCTCTCCCACGCCCTCACTCCCACTGTCCCACACCCTCACTCCCACTCTCCCACACCCTCACTCCCACTGTTCCACATCTTCACTTCCACTGTCCCACACCCTCACTCCCACTCTCCCACACCCTCACTCCCACTCTCCCACTCACCCACACCCTCACTCCCACTCACACACACCCTCACTCCCACTCTCCCACACCCTCACTCCCACTCTCCCACGCCCTCACTCCCTCTCCCACGCCCTCGCTCCCTCTCTCCCACGCCCTCGTTCCCACTCTCCCTCACCCTCACTCCCACTCTCCCACGCCCTCACTCCCTCTCTCCCACGCCCTCACTCCCACTGTCCCACACCCTCACTCCCACTCTCCCACACCCTCACTCCCACTGTTCCACATCCTCACTTCCACTGTCCCACACCCTCACTCCCACTCTCCCACACCCTCACTCCCACTCTCCCACACCCTCACTCCCACTCTCCCACACCCTCACTCCCACCCACTCCCCCACGCCCTCAATCCTGTCCCTCCCCATCCATCAACCGCCTGCATCGCTGCTGCTCCCTCCCTGCCACAGCGCACACTCTTGCAATCCCCCAACCCAAATGCACCACTCACTTGTACGGACCCTGTGCCGGGGGTAATGATGGCAATCCGTCCCACCCAGCCCCACCCAGCCCCACCCAGCCCCACCCAGAACCTTTGCCTGCTCTGCTAGTCTCAGAGTTCTGTAAAACCACCAAACTGTTTAGTTCATCATTTCTACGCCTTTCAGTCCAGACCAAGCATACAGTTCAGCCCAGGAATCTTCTAGCAACCCTCCCACCCTGAGTTGACTTTTAAGTTGACTCAAAAGTCAACCAAGTCCAGACCAAGCATACAGTTCTGCCCGGGAATCTTCAGTCAACCCTCCCACCCTCACACTCACCACAGTTGGCTCCTCGCTGTTGGTCTTACACGCCAGCAGCACACCCACAGCCTGAGTCACGCGCCAGCACCACTATCCGTCCCATCCCACTCACCCCACACAGGCACTCACCACAATCCGTTCCTTGCTGATCGTTTTGCAAGCCAGCAGCGCGCCAGTCATTCTATTGACGCACGATCGAATAACGCCGAACTGCCCCACGCCCAGCTCCTCCTCCTGCACGTCAAACACCTCGGTGACCTCGCGGTACGGCTTGCGCAGGATGAAGTCCGTGTGCCGCAGGCTGCCCCCGTCCACCCATGATGATATGCGCCGGTGCGCGCCCTTCTGTAGCGCCGCCACCGGCCCCGCTACAGCCACCGGCGCTACGGTCACTGGTGCTACAGCTGCCGCTGGTATCCCCCCCCCTGCTGCTGCTGCTGCTGCTCCCAATGCTCCCCCGCCCGCCCCAACCCCGACACTCCCTCTCACCCCACTACCCTCCCTCCTCAGCCCAGACCTTTCTTTCACAGACCCTATCCCCGCCACCTCCCGCACTCCTCTCCCCATTCCTCCTGCTCCGCTTCCCCCTGCCCCCTCTCCCCCCATCCCCCCTCCCCCCGCCTTCCCCGCGGGGGGGCCTACCGCCACCAGTTTAACCTCTCTGCCCTCATCCCCGCTATCATCTGCCCCGATTTCCACTCTTAGCTGTAGCTTTTTCAGCCCTATAGCGGATTTCCGCGGAGACCCTGCGCCTCCAGGTTCCCCCCTGGGCGAACCCGCCGCGCTCCCCCTCTCGCTCCCCCGCTCGCTCCCCCTCTCGCTCCCCCCATCGCCCCCGATCCCCAACCGCTTTCTGTGGGCGGAAATCGCGGCGCTGACAGCGCTCGCGCCGCCACCCGGCGCGTCGCGCCCCGTAGCCACGGACACGTCAGACAACGTGACGGATTCCGTCGGCGAGCTACGCTCCGTCCCCTCCCCGTCATCCTCCTGAACGGGAGACGCGATCCCCCTCATCCCCGCGCGTCCCACGCCCATCCCTCCCCCCTCCGCATCCGCGTAACCCTGATCCCTCCCCGCCGCTGCCCCCGCGCCGCCCGCCAGCCGCCCCTTCGTGAGCGGCATAGCAGCGGAATAAATATTATGATCCACGCTCCCGATGCGCCGATGGCGCCCCTTTCCGCCGCCCGCGCCCGCTCCGCCGCCCTTCTCCATGTGGCGGAGCACCTGGCGCTGTCCCACCTCCGGCGCTCTCAGCCGGTCCATGCGGCTCCCCTCAATCTCTTTCCCTGCGGAAGACGCGGACGGGGGAAACGCGGGGGTGGGCTTCCGCGCGCCAGGCTCTTCCGCGTCGCTTCCCGCTCTCCCCGCGGCGGAAGCTCCGCCCCCTCCGCCGGCGTCGGAATCACCCCCGCCACTGCTACTGTGCTCCGCGGAAGAACGCCTGCTGCGCGGCCTTTCTTTTTCCGCGTGGCTCTTCCCCTTCTTGGTTTTCGCCTTGGCGTTCGCCAATGGCGCTTTGACACGTGGTACAGATACCTCGCTCGCGTCGTCGTCGCAGTCTTGTTCCGAATCCGTCTCCTCCTCCGCCACAGCGGGAACAACGGGCTTTAAGATGGGTTCTATTATCGGGTTTTCTACTAACTGAAACCCGCAATTCGGGCAGAACTGGTACCGCGGCTTGCAATACGCGACTCCGCCGGCAGCGGCCGCCAAAGCCGCCGCCGCCGCCGCCAACTCCGCGCTCCCCGGCGGAAATTGCGCCGCGTTCACAGATGGCTTTAACGGAAACCGCGGCTTGTCCGCATCTGACGGTATGGAGTCAGGGGTGTTGACGAGCGGTAATCGCGGATCGACGACGCTATTGATACTGCTGCTGTTGCTGCTGTTGTTAACCCCGTTTCGCATCGACTCCAGCGTCGGCTGTCTCGCCGCGCCGCCCATTGCGCCGCTTCTGCTTCGCCCCCCGCCGCCGTTCGTGCTGTTCCCCGTGGCCGTAGGGACCGCCCCGTACCCGCCGCTTAAACCGGAAAGACTAAGACCGGCCAACGAGGCCCGCGCCTCGACGGCGACGTTATCGGAGGATTTTCGCCTGCGGCGCCCCTCGTGGCTCGAGTGACTGCCGGAGCCGCGCCCGTCCGACATGTGCCCGGGCGACTCTGCGTGGTTGGCGACACTGTGCGGCGAAGCGCTGCGAACGGGTAACCCTACGCCGACGCCGGACCCTGCATGCTTGCTGCTTCCGCGCTCAATCGCGCTTCCCCCGATTCCGCCTCCCCTGCTTCCGCCTCCCCCGACCATATGAAACTCCTGCAGGCGCAGCTCGAGCGGGCTGACGGACGCGACCGTAGCGCGCCGGCGGCTTCCGCTCTTGTGCGGGGGGAGCCCCGAGGGCTGCTCCGAGTGGTACTGCATCTTAAAGCCCTCGGACCCGGCAGTTCAAGTGTAGGACACTTGATACGGGTTTTCTAGGTTATTGGCTGCAATGCGGTGCTTCTAATGACCTCCTAACCATCTGTAGGATAGGTGAGGCGACGGGTGATGATGTTAAAGAATATGGACGAGAGAATATAAGAGGAATTGCGGTAGGTGAGGGAATGGCCTTCGGAACTAGCAGGGGCGATTATTATTTCCGCGAGAGAACGCTGGGAACGCAACGCGAGGCGATGTGAGAGAATGTACTCAGTTAATGAGGGTCGATGTAGCTCACCATGCGAACGATTCGCGTGGAACATAAACTATCACTACCCTCAAGGACGACAGCTTTCGAAATAATTAATATTAGAGAAACTTATTTTCAGCAACAGCAGAGTTTATATGAAGGTCCGCTGTGCTAAGGCCGAGGACCTTGATAGTAGGTTGTGGGAAAGCAAAGCTCTGTTGAGCTGGAAGGTTGAGACAGAGGCAACGAGCAAGCTAGTTGGCTGATTTCAAAGATGGTGCAGCTGACAAGCTGGCACTGCTGCACGAACAAGCGTCAAACACGGACAGTCCAAACGGAGTTTAAAACCACCGTGGCTTCTAGGGACAGATGGAGCTGCGAACCGTACCGTGCGTACGCAACCAGCGTACGAAACCCAAGAAGGTGGCGCTGGTGGTAGCTGTCGTTTCTGAAACCCAAGAGCCAGCAAGCCAGCCTGAGGTTTGGACCTCAGGTTTTCACAGCCATTGTAAGGTTTGGAAGTCGCAAGCGTGGTAACCTGAATGTTTGTGGTTTGCGATTTTTGGCGACAGAAACTCTACCTTGTGTTCTAGCCTTGAATTTCTGGTGCGAGGTTCCGAATTCTCAAGTTCGGTTCGGGAAGATCACTCAAGCTGATGAAGCCTGATGGCTTCTTTCATGAGGAGCAAAACAATTGGAGGGAACCACGTGGACGTACGTACGCACGCCACCACACGAAACTCGTGGTGGCATTCGGCGGTGTGTGGTGGAAGAATCGGAGTGTTGCACAGTGTCTGGTGTACAGTACACTGACAAGGTGGGTGGATCACCTGGCGGTCCGGCGGCCATGAGTGGAACGCTGTGGGTCCCGTGGGGCACAGCCCACCACCCACTAGGCACGAAAGCGGGCACAAACCATTCCCAACAAACAGCCGAAAACGTGCAGTGCACAAGCACTGGGATAACAAGGTTGACTCGTTTGTAATTTCTCCAGCTATTAGAGCATGTTAGGGTTGCACTGTAGAAGCTAGCCTAATGGGCAATTCGTAATGGTCAATGGGGTGATTGGAAAGTGGAAGGCTCTGTCCAAGGTGAGGTCATCATATATAAGAGAAAGAAATTTGCTGTCAAGATACAATGTGCATGTGTAAAACAATAACTGGTACCTACCTAAACGGTACTAGGAACTTCTCCAATATGTCCTTTTTTCAAGCCCCCCTCTCTCTTCCAAATTCCAACCCTTCTCTCCCCCCCCCCCCCCCCCTCCCCTAACTGATTCCTTTTTGCGGATAAACGAGCCGGAGCTAAGCTTCTTGCGTGAAGCTGGAACCCCAACAACAATTGTCCTCAGTTCCCGCGGCATCTTTCCTCCACTCCAAGTCATCTCCGAAGCACAATGAAAAGTACAGTACGGTTGGTTGTGCCTTTCTTTTATCTTGTGAAATTCATACAGCATCAACACAATACACACGTGGTAACCACCAACAAACCAAACCCCAACAGTCTCAGGCCGCAGCAGCTGCCTGCTTGTTGCGCTGCACTCGCCTCACCACCTCCTCCATAGCAATATCAAAGGCGTCTCGCTTTTGTTCCATGGGATACATGCGCGGGTGGTTGTACACCACTGCCGGCATCACCTCCCTAATGATCTTCAACCTCATTCGCCGCACCTAGAGAGAGCGGGGAAGGAAAGGCGGAAAGGGGAACGAATGAGTGGGAGGGAAAAAGAGGGGAGGGCAAAATTAAAGGCATCTCGCCTGTTCTCCATAGGGTACATGAGTGGATGGTTGTACACCACTGCTGGCATCACCAACCCTTATGATCTTCAACCTCATTCGCCACACCTAGAGAGAGCGGGGAAGGAAAGACGGAAAGGGGAACGAATAAGGGAGTGGGAGGGAAAAAGAGGGGAGGGCAAAATTAAAGGCGTCTCGCCTGTTCTCCATAGGGTACATGAGTGGATGGTTGTACACCACTGCTGGCATCACCAACCCTTATGATCTTCAACCTCATTCGCCGCACCTAGAAAGAGTGGGAGCACAAGGGGAGGCGCAAGAGGAGGGTAACGAAGAGGGGAAGAGGGGAGGGCGATACAAGAAACGTCTCGCCTGTGTTCCATGGGATACATGCGCGGATGGTTGTACACCCCTGCCGGCAACACCTCTCTTATGTTTCCCAACCGCATGCGCCGCACATAGAGCAATGGGCACACATGTGGGGAGGGAAATGTGAGAGGAGTAAACATGGGAGGGAAAGGGGGAGGGAAAAAGGGTGCATGCGCAGGAGGCTGTACACCCCTGCTGGGGGTGCATGCCTTATGATCTTCAACCTCATGCGCCGCACCTAGAGCAATGGCACATGCGTAGGGAAGGAAAGTTGAAAGGAGTGAACGTGGAAGGGAATAGGGGCACATGTGCGGGTGGTTGTACACCCCTGCTAGCATCACCTCTCTTATGATCTTCAACCGCATGCAGCGCACCTAGAGAGAGCGAAACGTAGAGTCAGGGGAGGGTAAAGGGGAGGGAAAGGTGCCATGGTTATGTGAAAGAGGTCTTGTCTCTGGTGTATGGGGTGCATGCATGGTGGTAATACATAATACACCGCTGATGGGATGGCTGTTCTCGAGATGCAGATGTGCCATGGGTGATGGGATGGTTGTTCTCGAACATGCTCCTCAATCACACATGCAACAGTGCCACGTATATGCACAACGGTAGCATGCACAACGGTAGCATGCACAACGGTAGCATGCACAACGGTAGCATGCACAACAGTGACTTGCGTAACAGTGACTTGCGCAACAGTGGCTTGCTTAACAGTGACTTGCATAACAGTGACTTGCATAACAGTGACTTGCGTAACAGTGACTTGCGTAACAGTGACTTGCGTAACAGTGACTTGCGTAACAGTGACTTGCGTAACAGTGACTTGCGTAACAGTGACATGCGTAACAGTGACTTGCGTAACAGTGACATGCGTAACAGTGACTTGCATAACAGTGACTTGCGTAACAGTGACTTGCGTAACAGTGACTTGCGTAACAGTGACTTGCGTAACAGTGACTTGCGTATCAGCTACAAACAAGAAACTACAAAGGCACTCTATGTTGACACGGACCATAGAGTCAACAACGTGAGCCTTTGCACTCGGGAAAGGAACCAGGAGTGGGACACACCGACCGAACCAAGAGTGGGACGCACCGACTGAAGCAAGAGTGGGACACACCGACCGAACCAAGAGTGGGACATGCCGACCGAACCAAGCACATACAGACGGTTCGCCCTGGTCCTGCTTACCTCCTTTCCTGGAATCTTCTCGAGCTCCTTGATGACGTCAACCTTGCCTGCCAGCACTGCTTTCTCACTCAGCGTCACCGAGTAGGTGCTGCTGTTGGCCGGTAGGTGCCACTTGTACTGTGCAGTAAGGAGTGGGGGAAAGGGGAGAGCCGAGGGATGGATGGAGGGATGAAGGAACAACATGATGATCACTCAGCGTCACCGCGTAGGTGCTGCTGTTGGCCGGTAGGTGCCACTTGTACTGTGCAGTAAGGAGTGGGGGAAAGAGGAGAGGAGAGGGATGAGGGAGGAAGGAACAACATGATGATCACTCGACGTCACCGAGTAGGTGCTGTTGTTGGCTGGTAGGTGCCACTTGTACTGCGACGCAGGAGGAGGGGGGGACTGGGAGAGGGGCGGATGGGAGAGGGGCGGATGGAGGGAGGGATAACATGAAGTTGATTTTGGGAATTCTCAAAATGAACCTCAAACAAAACGGGAGGGATAACATGAAGTTGATTTTGAGAATTCTCAAAATCAACCTCAAACAAAACGGGAGGGATAACATGAAGAACCATTTGAAGCGACAGAAAAGCTGTTGCTGTTGGCGGATAGGTGCCACTTGTACTGTGACGCAGGGGAAGGGAGGAGAGAGGAGAGAGATGGAGGGAGGAAGTGACAACATGATCATTCAGTGTCGCCGAGTAGGTGGTGCTGTTGGCCGCTGCTGCTGCACGACTAGGCCGGCTGCACGACTAGGCCGGCTGCACGACTAGGCCGGCTGCACGACTAGACGGGGCGCCTTTAATATCAACAATGGCAGCTTGACTCATACAGCTGCGTGCTGAGGTTACTAAGAGGGTCACGAGGGAGTGGAGTCGAGGAAGACAGGGATGCAGCCGGCAACGATGGCATCTGGAGGGAACATGCTGAGCCCAGAACATGCTGAGCCCAGAACATGCTGAGCCCAGAACATGCTGCACACTCGCACTCAAACACCCACACATCCACACTGAGCGCACCTGGGAGGGAACAGAGGAGTCGAGGAAGACGGGGAGGGATGCAGCCAGCAACAATGGCGTCAAAGGCGGCTCTGTGTGCTCAACAAACACATGTACAGCACACCTGAGAGGACACCTGAGCTTACCTGGGAGGGCACCTGTGCTGCATTCACCTGGGAGGGCACCTGTGCTGCATTCACCTGGGAGGGCACCTGTGCTGCATTCACCTGGGAGGGCACGAAGGAGTCGAGGAAGACGGGGATGCAGCCAGCCACGATGGCGTCAAAGGCGGCCCTGCGGGCGCCCGTGTGGCCCGATGGTACGATGCAGAAGGCAGCATCGGTGAATAGATCCATGAGCACCTCTGGCCGCGTGCAGATGTCCTCCACGCACTCCAGGTATCTGGTGGTGATGTGGGATAGTGAGGGGTTTAGAGCGGTACTTGATAGTCAGGCAGATTGGCACGAGGCAGTATATACAAGGCAGAAGGCAGCTTCGGTCAAAAGACCCATGAGCACCTCTGGCCGCGTGCAGATGCCTTCTACGCACTCCAGGTAGCTGTGGTGGGTGGTGAGGGGTTGAGAGAGGTAGTGGAAGGAGGGGAGTGAATAGGAGGAGAGAGGCTTAGAGGGCATCAGAACCGTTGGACCCGTGACGGTGTCTTAGGAGGTAGCTGGTGTCTTACATACATTTGAGGTAGCTGGTGGTGAGGGGAGGAGTGGGATGGAGGTGACGGGATGAGACATAGGAGGGGAGGAGGGGAGGAGAAGAGGAGGAGAGGAGGAGGGGAGGGGAGGAGCGGAGGAGGGGAGGAGGAAAGGTGACCCCACATGCCCTTCATCACCCCACACTCACGGACATGCCTTGCCTCACTCAACTCACCGGCACGCCTTGCCTCACTCAACTCACCGGCACGCCATGGCTTTCTTGCACTGCCTGCCAGCGCCTTGTCGTGCTTGCTGAAGGCGTCCCTAGTGATGCAAGCAAACGACCACGGTCCTGTGATCGCCCCACACAATCTGACACTCACCGGCACGCCATGGCTTTCTTGCACTGCCTGTCCAGCGCCTTGTCGTGCTTGCTGAAGGCGTCCCTAGTGATGCAAGCAAACGACCACTGTCCTTTGATCACCCCACACAATCTAACACTTACCGGCACGCCTTGGCTTTCTTGCACTGCCGCCCCAGTGCCTTGTTGTGCTTGCTGAACGCGTCCCTCAGCGATGCAAACGCGGCCAGCGACGTGCGCCGGTGCGACTCGGCTATGCGCTGCCATGTCTGCATTGTGAGCGGGGTGGTGAGAGGGGTGGTGAGAGGGGTGGTGAGAGGGATGGTGAGAGGGATGGTGAGAGGGATGGTGAGAAGGGTAGTGGGAGGGGTGGTGGGAGGGGATGATTAAGAACGCTGCTAACCATGTCGTCCACTGTTGAATGCTCTGTCCTTCACCCCTGGCGTCTCACCTTGTAGTCCTTCTCCCAGCGAGGGTGGAAGAAGGTGAGAGGGGGAATGCCGATCTCGGTGTCCTCCCACAGGTTGGCGGCCAGCACTAGCTTCGTCACGTGCTTCATCTCGGGCAGCAGCAGCAGGCGGTTGCCCCACTGCGACCCCTCTGACCGCCTGAAGTCCCACGAGCCCTGCCCCAGCACGATGAAGTGGTCCGCTCCGTTGCGCTTCTGCAGGGAGAAAAGAGACCAGCACAGGCACAGAAAGGCACAGATAGGTGCAGAAAGGATGCGCCTCAACTCAAGTCCCACGAGCCCTGCCCCAGCAGTATCAAGTGGTCCGCTCCCCTGCTCTTCTGCACAACACAGGAAGGAGGAGCGCAGAAGCATCAGGCAGGCAGGTAGCACATTAGTGCTGTACAACCAGGACCCACCTAAATTCGATAGCCTCACCAAGTGGCTCTTGCAAAGAGAGTGCTTCAAGACCCTTTCGGGACTAAAAAAACACTTAACTACGCACCTTGAATGCTCGCTCCTCATCAACCACACCTCCCTTGCCCTCACACCACACCTGTTCAAACTCCTGTACCTGACACTACGTACCTTGAAGTGCTCCCTTCTCATGAGCCACTTGGCTAGCCCGTCATGCATGCGATCACGGTCGTTCAGAGACGCATTCACCATCACACAGGGCAAAGCAGGGTGCACCACCACATACCATGCCAGACCACCTCTAACCGCTTCGCACCTTGAAGTGCTCCCTTCTCATGAGCCACTTGGCGAGCCCATCATGCATGCGGTCACGGTCGTCCAACGATGCGTTCTTGGCGAAGTGCCAGCGAGTCACGTCCAGGGAGGCGTAGAAAGGGATGAAGAAGAGGTCTGCTTTGTCTGGATCGCTCGTGATGCACTTGTACGCCTTGCGCAGCCTGTAGTGAAAGACCATCTCCAGGGCGTACTGGGAGGAGGGGCACATAGAGAATGGCAAAAAAGGCAGGGGAGAGAAGACGCGTAAAAGGGGTTAAGACAAGATCTGCTTTGTCCGGATCACTGTTAATGCACTTGTACGCCTTGCACAGGCTAGTGAAACACCATTTCCAGTGCGTACTGGCAACCACAGAGCAAGGAAGGAGGACGAGGGAGACAAGGAGTAGAATGGGATGAAGAACAAGGCCGCCCTGTCAGGGTCATTGGTGATGGACTTGTACGCCTTGCACAGGGGGTAGTGAAACACCATCTCCAGGGCGTACTGTCACTCACACAGTGTAGGGAGAGACACAAGATAAAAGGGCATGAAGGACATGTCCGCTCGCTCAGTGTCGTTGCTGCTGCCCTTGTATACCATGTGGAGCCAGTAGTGGGACACCACCTCCCGCAGGGCGCACTGGGAGGAGAGGGAGAGGGGAAGAGACTGGGGAAGGAGAGGGGAAGGGGCACGGGCTGTCAGGGCGATCAGGGTCGCTGGTTATGCCCTTGTATACCTTGCAGCGCCGGTAGTGGCGGGGGGGAGAGAAGAGAGCGAGGTGTCAAAGAGCTTGAGCAAGTGGCAGTTATGATCACCTCACGATGTTTGCAGTCTGAAATACAATCAATGGCTTGCGCATTTGAGAGACGACTTATGCAGCTGTAAGACATGATGCAGTGCGGTGTGGTGTGGTGCAGTGCAGCGTGGTGCAGTGCATGCATACCATGTGCGTCTCGAACCATCGGCCAGAGGGTAGAAGCAGCTTGCTGTTGCGGATTCGGTTTCCCAAGCCGTCGTTCTGTTTGCGCATGGGCGCATGGGATTAGACATGAGGGCATGTCCGGGGGGCATGTAGAGGGGGGTATGCAGTTGGGGGCATGCAGAGCGGGGTATGCAGAGGGGGGCATAAGACATGAGATTAGACATGAGATTAGACATGAGATTAGACATGAGATTAGACATGAGGGCATGCAGAGGGGGGCATGAGAGCAGGCAGGTGAAGAAGCAGAGTAGCAGAGAGGCGCGCACACACACGCCCATACCCCTCAAAACCCGCACAATTCAACCCAACACCCACACAAGAGATGCACCTGGAAGTGCGGGCAGATGGAGAACCAGGGTAGCAGCGTGGCGCACTGCTCGACGAGCCCGCGGTTGTACGCCTGAGCCAGCTTGTGAATGTACACCGTGCGCCCCCGACACCCCTCCACGTCTATCGGCTCTCCCACCGGGTCTGCTGCAACTGCTTCTGCCTCCGCTTTCTGAATAAGAGGGGCAGAGTAGAGGGAAATCGAGGGGGAAGGGGGAGAGAGGGGAAGGGAAAGCTTGTGAATGTACACCGTGCGCCCCCGACACCCCTCCACGTCTATCGGCTCGCCCACCAGATCCGCCGCTACCGCTGCTGCCTCCTCCACTTTTCTGGAGTAGTGATGAGATGAATAAGTGAGGGATTCGCGGGCTCAGGAGGGAAGAGGAAGTAATGTCAAAAGGGGAGGCGTCAATGGAGAGGGGCGAAGGGCGAGTCGAGGCATGGATGAAGGTTGAGGGGTTAAGGGCGAGGGGTTAAGGGCGAGGGGTTAAGGGCGAGGGGTTAAGGGCGAGGGGTTAAGGGCGAGGGTTAAGGGCGAGGGGTTAAGGCAAGCAGATGAAGAGCAGGAGGTGCGATGCGGCGGCAAGAGAAAGGGACCAGTGAGCAGATTGCAAGTGCTCACCACTTCCTTGGCAGCGACCGACTGCTGCTCCGACGAGCCCGCACTCTCCCCTGTGGCCTCCCCACCCCCGCTGCTGCTGTTCTCCCCCTCACTGCCACCACCACCACCATCACCACCAGCGTCACCAGCAGCACTGTCATCTGCAGGCCCAGCCCCTTCGTCCTCCTCCCCCGCTCCTTCCCCACTGCTGTGCGAGCCCTCCTCCCCCTCCCTCGCCTCCTCCTTCGCCTCCTTCTCCTCCTCCTTCTCCTCCTCGTCCTCCTCGTCTTCTTTCTCCCCCTCCTCATCCTGCGCTTTCTTCCTGCTGCCTGTACCTGCTTCACTGCGTCCCTTCTTCCCTTCCTTCCCACCCCCTTCCTCCTCATCATCCTCTTCATCATCCTCCCCGTCCTCCTCATCCTCGCTCTCACCCTTATCCCCTGCTTTCTTCTCCTTCTTGCCTCCCGCTTCCCCCTCTCCACTCCCCTCATCACTCTCCTCCTCATCCCCCTTTTGCCCTCCCTCACTCTTCCCTCCCGCGTCCTTCTCCTCCTTCTCCTCGTCACCCTCATCACCATCCTTCCCATCCTCATCCTCATCCTCATCCTCCTTCCCTTGCCCCACACTCGCCTTCACCTCAGTCCTCTTCTCCTCTTCTGCCCCTGGCCGATCAAGAACCACTCCCTCCTCCCCAAACACACCGCTGCCATGAGGTATCTTCTCAGGGAATTGCTGATGCTCTCTTTCAGGGAATTGCTGCGGCTCCCTCTCAGGGAATTGCTGCTGCTCCCTCTCAGGGAATTGCTGCTGATGATCCCTCTCAGGAAAATGGTGCTGACGCTCCCTCCAAGGGAATGGCTGTGGCTCCTTATCAGGATACGCCTGCCCACCCTGCCCTGCTCCACTCCCTGCCTCCCCACCCACAGCAGCAGCAGCAGCAGCAGCGGCAGCACCTCCTTTCGCAGTAGCAGCAGCAGTGGCGCCACTGTTAGCAGCAGCATCGTGACCTCTGGCACTCTCTGCTTGTGCTGTCTCCAGTTGGGACGCCTGCAGACATGCGCACACACACCCACAGGAAGGAGTGGGAGGTAAGGAGCAGAATTTCTGCAAGGAGCACAATTCCAGCATGCAGCAGAGAGCACGTGGTGCAGCAGAGAGCACGTGGTGCAGCAGAGCACGTGGTGCAGCAGAGCAGAGCACGTGGTGCAGCAGAGCACGTGGTGCAGCAGAGCACGTGGTGCAGCAGAGCACGTGGTGCAGCAGAGCACGCGGTGCAGCAGAGCACGTGGTGCAGCAGAGCACGTGGTGCAGCAGAGCACGTGGTGCAGCAGAGCACGTGGTGCAGCAGAGAGCACGTGGTGCAGCAGAGCACGTGGTGCAGCAGAGGGCCAAGGCAAGACACGCTGTATTGTAGCCATGGAAAACGGGGGGTGGACGAAATAGTGCTCCTGCCTGCTACGCGTTACACCACTCCATCTCACCTGCTGCTGGCTCAACTGCTGCACTGATGCAGTGAGCACTTGGTCCTCCCACCTGCCTCGGTGACTTTTGAGTCGACTAAAGAATGACCCCATCTCACCTGTTGCGCTGATGCAGGGAGTGCGTGGTCCTCCTGCCTTGCTAGCTCCAACAGGCTCGCCGCGTCCTCGCCCCCGCCTGCTGTGACTGCTGGTGGTGGAACGGACGGAATACGGATGGCATGATGGCATGATGGCATGATGGAATGTTGGCACTATGGCCTCAGAAAATACAATCAAAAGTATTTGAACTTATGCATCCATACCTTCCCACCCATCCAATGTCCCCTTCCCTCGGTGTCCTCGCCATAGCCTCTCCCTCTCACACCCTTCCCCCCTCCGCCCTTTGCTCCCCCACCAAACGACTTTCCAAGTTTCACTCCCTCCTCTCCCTTGTTCTCTCCCTGGCCCCACTTCTCTCCACTGCTCCACCATCCCCTCCCACCCGTCCCATTCTTCCACTGCTTTCCACTCCTCTCTTCAACTCAATTTTCCCCATTATCCCACCCCTTCCCTCCTCTCCTCTCTTCAACTCAATTATCCCCATTATCCCACCCCTTCCCTCCTCTCCTCTCTTCAACTCAATTATCCCCATTATCCCACCCCTTCCCTCCTCTCCTCTCTTCTCCCCAGGGGCTCACAGTGCGTGGTTTGCACGGCAACAGGCTGAGCCAGTTGTTGAGGCGTTGATATGGTCTCAGTGTGTGCGATCTGGGCGCCAGTCAAATGCACAAAAGCGCAGGAGTGAATGACGGAGACGGAATTAGACAAGTTGGGTTTGAGGACTCTCCAAAACCAACTTGGTTTCGGTATGCGCGACCTGGGCGCCAGGCACATGCACGAAGGCGCGGGTGTGGATGAGGGAGGCGTACAGCCAGGTGTACAACGCTCGAAAAAGCTCGAGTCTACTCTTTCGCGTCGTATACAATGCAACCCCCGCCAGCCACGCAAGCAGCTACGCGCGCACAAACAAGTTCCGTGCATTCAGCGTACTCTCGCCATGAAAAGACGAGCCCTTTCACGTACGTGTTCCGTCATTTGAACCGCAGGGCCGACCGTGCCGCTCTTCGTGACGTCTGGCTCGCCTGCATGGCAACGCATTGTCACAGGAAAAGAGAAAGAACGACGAGATTCGACGATTTTTGAGTCGACTCAGAAGTGAAATTCCAATGACCGACGGGATGAGAAATGACGAGATACGACGCCAAAACGGAGTGAACTTGACCCCGTAATCAAGATAATACGGGAGAAGATTGAGAGATTGCGGGGAGAAAGGCGATTATGGGAAGAAAGGAGAGAGAATGGCACAGACAACGACGGGAAGAAGAGGACACGGCGACGTCGCTCGCACTCTCATAAAGCACGCTGGAAAGGCTCAGCAGCTTACGGAGCTGCATTCTGAGACGCCTCAAAAGTCGCACAAACCATTTTCCAGTCGGCTGATCCATACGCACTACCGTTACTGCTGGCACGGCAGCGGCACACTGTGTCGGAACGAGACGATCGATGCTCCAGACGACGGCATTGCTTACTAGGTATTACGGATATTGTTAGCAATTGAAAATAAGGTCCTCCTGATAAATGATAAGAAAGGACAACGCGAGTAACGTACTCTGATTGGTCGGATGCGATGATGGTCTAGCGAGCATGACGATGAGAATGACTGCTGCGACGGTGAACATGGCGACCTGTGCGACGAACTGTCGCCGCTTCTGCGCCGCCGATCGCGGAGCGAAAATGGAATCCGACTTTCGCTTCGCCTCGTCGTGGTCCGACCCGTCAGGCGACTGCCTCCCGCCTGTCGCATGCCCTCGTCGCACGTCCATCGCTGCGACTGTGCGACACTAACGATCGCAACGGGACAACTAGAGAAAAAACGCGAAGAGATAGCGTAAACTTTATTCAAATTTCACGGCATCATCATTCCGTGAATGAAGGACACGCGGAGGTGAGAATGTGGAAGTGGTCAGGAAGAATGGCAGGGAAAGATGAGAAAGCAATTTGGGGAAGGGAAGCTCAACCTTGGGAGTCCCGTTTTGTGGCTGGAGCGAATCTGGAATATGAAAATTGGCGGGGAGAGAAAGCGGACTGACAAGGAGGGTTAACGTTTTGTTTCGGGCTACCCCGACGTTCTGGGTACCAATTTTGTTAAGGTATTTGTTTTAGCAAAGCTGCACAGGTTTCGCAGTACTGGAGAGAATCAGCAATGACCAATGGACCTCCAACTGTTTGCAGCACGTAGTGCTGGCACTGATTGATAGAAGTTTGGGGGTGAATTAATTTTAGCATTTTGGGGCAAATGGGAGAATAAAATGTTTTGATTTGCTCACCCTTGTGCGAAGTTTGCACCATGTCCATTTTGCGAACAAGTCTCACTACATTTGTAACACACACTGTACTGAGCGTTTCGCCTAGTCGTTATTGCGGCTTTGGTTACCCACTGTAACATAATATCGTATAGATATATTTCATTCTCGACCTTCCACATGCATCTTTGAGTCTGCCAATAGGTGTCAGCAGGAACTGAATATACAAGTGCAACACTTTCTGCCTTCCTACATCGTTCACGATTCACAGGAGCTTCACGCTCGTCACAGCAACGCACGACAAGGAATAACTACGAATCTGAACCAAGATCATGTTCCAAACGATCGACTCTGACCATATCAGTTCAAGAACTACCAATATTCCGAATGGCTTCACTATCAACGCAAGAAGAAAGTTTCTCTATATTTCTTGGCGACAAGTTATGGCAACATGATGTTGACATGAAGAAGCATATCATGGTGGATTCTACGGAAGAACATTTTCAGGATAAGCCTATAACGCTGGAGGAAACAGGGCTATGGCGCCATGTTACGACTGCGGTGTGTGAAGCTACTCAAAATTCTGTCGCGGATGCAGCTGCTCCTATCTTCCCTCAGAAAGTGGGGGTTGCCCCCAGCATTCAGCTCACGCAACTGCCTGCCATAGGAGGCCTTTGGTGTACGGGGCACAGCTGCTAGGCAGCAACTTCGAACCAGGGCAATTTCTGCTCTCCCAACCCAACCCCACCACTCTCGGCAAATCAGATTTGGAGCCAAAGGACCAAGACTGAACATCCGTCACCAAAGTCCTGCACGGCATCAATTTCGAACCAGGGTTTTCTCTGTTGGAACCCAACCTTTTTACAAGGCACGGCAGGGCAGGCTCGGAGCCAATTCTTCCAAGCTGAAGCAACAGATACAGAACCTGGAACCTGTCAGAATATTATTCTTATGTTCTAGCCTGTAGTGGGGTGCTCTATAGCGAGTACAACCCTTCTAGGGTTTGCTATTTGTATCCCCATTCTTGCTAGTTCAATCCCTCTTTCTTCTTCTAACTTTTGTCAGAACCTACCGAGGCGTTTCTGCTAGAGTTGAAGTCTGGCAACGGCATAGTTAGATTTTGTGGCGGGCAAGTTGAAGTTTTTAGGCGTTTGGTCTATAAGCCTCCGTAGATTTCTGCGAGGGTACGGTATACACTACCTATGCCCTCTAGCTCCGGTTACGACCGACGGTGTTTTGCGTTGTACGTTGTATAATGCATTTCCACCTAAAAAAAAAAAAGGAACTGAATATACTCCAAAATTACAAGCTCTTTTTCATTATTTTTCTTCGCCAGGGCTAGGCCTAGGTAACGTGCCCTTTTGCCAAAATACCTTCGGGAACTAGGAAAGCATCGGGGTTACCTTATTGGCAGGCGTTGTATTTCGCTGCTTTGTAACTTAACTGGGGGGCGAGAGGTCTGCATGAATGAATCAAGAGGAGCAAAATGGCGGCGAAGAGTTCGTTTCCGCGGTGTACATGCGGGTACGCAATTGGCGCTGTAATCAATTTTGTATGTTTCAAGGCTAACCTTAGCCTCTTTTGGGATTAGCGAGACGGCACGATGTGCACACCTGCATGTTATAGAAAAAATACAGGCGCTGTTGTGGAGGGCGTTCAGAATATGGATGTTGTACTGTTGGGAGAATCAAGAGCACGGTTCAATTGACGCTTCCTATCATGTTTTCGTGCACTGTTCTTTATGCCCTCACGTGCACAATCTTCTGTCCGTGTATATGCTTGAAGCATGTAGGGTTGCCTGACGAATAGAGATCCTTATGATTCTGAAATATCGCAAAGGCTAGTGAGCAAAGAATTAATATCGAACTTGGAGACAATCCGAAAAAGCCTCGGCCAGCAGCGCCCGTGCGGCTCTTTCGCGAAGGCTCATACATCCCAAGAAAAGAAAGACAAGAAAAACGCCGCGACCTTCTCAATTTCACTGGCCGATTGAGAAGGGGGGGGTTGATGATAAAACGGAGGCATGGAAATTGGGACGAGGTTCAGAAGGAGTGAAAACTGGATTTGATGTTCCCCCTTTCACGCTCCCTCATTCAAGGGGAGTAGACGCTGGTGACGAAGAGGAAGAAGAGTGAGCGGGAATTTTGACGCGTTCGCACGTATAAGTCACCTGCTACGTCACCTGCCACTTGTCACTTGGCTGCGTTTCGTGTTTCCATGAGCAGGAGCGGTGCACATGATGAAGCGCAAGAACATGGAGCGGGGTGAGGAGCTGCCATGTGCACGTATCACACACTCTCACCGTGTTCCTTTGAGCAAGAGCGGTAGGAGCAAATGCTGACGATGAAGCGGAAGAACATGGAATAGCGAGAGGAGCTCACGACGTGCACGTATCAGCGCGGTGGTCCACTGGTCCATGGGAATCTCACACCTCTCACCTTTTACGTGCCACCTGTCTGCTTCCCCGTATTCCTTTGAGCAGGAGTGGCAGGAGCGGATGCTGACGATGGAGCGGAAGAACATGGAGCAGCGCGAGGAGCTAACCACGTGCACGTATCAGTGCGGTGGTCCACTAGTCTACGAGAATCTCACACCTCTCACCTCTCACGTGCCACCTGTCTGCTTCCCTGTATTCCTTCGAGCAGGAGCAGCAGAAGAGGATGCTGATGATGAAGCGCAAGAACATGGAGCGCGAGAAGGAGGGCCGCCCATCAGCGCGCAAGAGGCGAGCCGCTGACGGTGCTGGCCCTAGATTCGGTGGTGGTGGTGAAGTGGGGGTGGAGGGGGTCGTTAGGGGGTCAGAAGAGGCCGTCCTGTGGGCCGCTACCTGATGGTACATTCCATTTCGTTCAGTTCTGCCGAATGTTACGTCCAGTAACCCGTTCAGTTTGACCGACTCAAAGGCACCCCCAATTGATGGTCCATCCCAGTCAGTTTAGACATTCTCACTTTACCCTAGGAGATGACTGTTGAGACCTAGTCAAGATGGGCAATTCTTCCTTTTCTTCCTCCACCTGTCTTTCTTCCAACGTTTGTTTTGTTCTCTTGCTTCCACCAGGGTGGGTCGATTGCCCTTATATGCTCGAGGACATCGGCTTGCTAATCCCCGCCAATAGACATGTGCATTTTGACGAGCTTTATAACTCTACTGGTTCCCTGCACCCACCTAGGGACGAGTGATGAGTGAGAGGATCGGCCAGAAAAACCTGGCCGATTCGAGCCAAGTTTCACTCGACGAGTTTTTACCAACTCGTTCGCGCCCCTTCGTGAGTTTTTTTTGGACCTGCGACGTTTTTTGGACTCAGCGATTTTCGAAAAATAGTCGTCGCCGTCAGAATCAACGACGCAGGAATGATTGGATTAGTAAGAGTTGGGGTACAAGTACTAACCCAAGAAGTGATGTACCTTAGAAGTGTCAAACTTATATGCTACTTATGTGTATGTTCTAGTGGGGTAGCCCATATGAGGTACAACCCAAATAGGGTTTCATACTTGTACCCATCTTGCTACTAGTTCATTCATTCCTCGTTCATTCTTCTGACATGGTATCAGAGCAGGTCCTAGTCTAGGACCTAATTTTTCTGGCCCACCATTACTTAGTGACCGACTGCAGTTACCGCGTTACCCCACACCCTGCCCTGCGCTCCGCCGTCAGCGCCCGCCCTGCCCTGCCCTGCCTTGCGTCAGACTGCCCGTGTACGCCCACCCCTGCGTCGCGCTGCTTCGCGCACACCCTGCCCTGCCCCGTGTCGCGCTGCCTCGCGCACGCCCTGCCCTGCCCCACGTCGCGCTGCCCCGCGCACACCCTGCCCTGCCCCGCGTCTCGCTGCATCGCGCACGCCCTGCCCTGCCCCGCGTCGAGCTGCCTCAGGCACGCCCTGCCCTGCCCCGCGTTGCGCTGCATCGCGCACGCCCTGCCCTGCCCCGCGTCGAGCTGCCTCAGGCACGCCCTGCCCTGCCCCATGCCCTGCTGCCCCGCGCGTTGCGCCTTGCTGCAACCCGAGCGTCGCGCCCTGCTGCAGCCCACGCGTCGCGCTCAGTTGCCCCGTGCGTCGCGCTTTGCTGCAGCCCGCGCGTAGCGCTCTGCTACCCTGAGCGTCGCGCCATACCGCCTGCCCGTTAAACCCACCGCGGGCCCTCCCTTCGCGCCGCCGCACCTGCCCGTTACGCCCGCCCATTTGGCCCGCCGCGGGCCCTGCCTTCAGGCCGCCGCGCCTACCCGTTCGGCCCGTCACGGGCCCGCCCGTTCGCCCCTCCCGCACCTGTCCGCTACGCCCGCTGCGGGCTCGCCCCTTGCGCCAACCGTACCTGCGTTTTGCGCCCGCCGCGGGCCTGCACTCGCTGCCCAGCGCCGCCCTGCCTGTGCGCGCTACTGCCCCCGCCAGCGCCCCGCCCTGCCAACGCACCAGATGGCACTTCGTCCTTCCTCCGTTCTACTACGTGTCCCTCGGCCGTCTCCTCCTGTGTCCTCCCTTGCTGACAGTCCGGACCCAGAGTCTGACTCCCTTCGTGCTGCTAGT